GCTTCACACGCAGCACACATTCACACGCAGCACAGCTTCACACGCAGCACACCTTCACACACAGCACACCTTCACACGCAGCACCCCTTCACACGCAGCACACCTTCACACGCAGCACCCCTTCACACGCAGCACACCTTCACACGCAGCACACCTTCACACACAGCACACCTTCACACGCAGCACACCTTCATACGCAGCACACCTTCACACGCAGCACACCTTCATACGCAGCACAGCTTCACACACAGCACACCTTCACACGCAGCACACCTTCACACACAGCACACCTTCACACGCAGCACACCTTCACACGCAGCACACCTTCACACGCAGCACACCTTCACACGCAGCACAGCTTCACACACAGCACACCTTCACACACAGCACACCTTCACACGCAGCACACCTTCATACGCAGCACAGCTTCACACGCAGCACACCTTCACACGCAGCACACCTTCACACGCAGCACAGCTTCACACGCAGCACACCTTCACACGCAGCACACCTTCATACGCAGCACACCTTCATACGCAGCACACCTTCACACGCAGCACAGCTTCACACGCAGCACACCTTCACACACAGCACACCTTCACACGCAGCACACCTTCACACACAGCACACCTTCACACGCAGCACCCCTTCACACGCAGCACACCTTCACACGCAGCACACCTTCACACGCAGCACACCTTCACACGCAGCACACATTCACACGCAGCACACATTCACACACAGCACACCTTCATACGCAGCACACCTTCACACGCAGCACACCTTCATACGCAGCACAGCTTCACACACAGCACACCTTCACACGCAGCACACCTTCACACACAGCACACCTTCACACGCAGCACACCTTCACACGCAGCACACCTTCACACGCAGCACAGCTTCACACACAGCACACCTTCACACACAGCACACCTTCACACGCAGCACACCTTCATACGCAGCACAGCTTCACACGCAGCACACCTTCACACGCAGCACACCTTCACACGCAGCACAGCTTCACACGCAGCACACCTTCACACGCAGCACACCTTCATACGCAGCACACCTTCATACGCAGCACAGCTTCACACGCAGCACACCTTCACACGCAGCACACCTTCACACGCAGCACACCTTCATACGCAGCACACCTTCATACGCAGCACACCTTCACACGCAGCACACCTTCACACGCAGCACACCTTCACACGCAGCACACCTTCACACGCAGCACAGCTTCACACGCAGCTCACATTCACACGCAGCACAGCTTCACACGCAGCTCACATTCACACGCAGCACACCTTCACACGCAGCACACCTTCACACGCAGCACAGCTTCACACGCAGCACAGCTTCACACGCAGCACACCTTCACACGCAGCACACCTTCACACGCAGCACACCTTCACACGCAGCACACATTCACACGCAGCACACATTCACACACAGCACACCTTCATACGCAGCACACCTTCACACGCAGCACACCTTCATACGCAGCACAGCTTCACACACAGCACACCTTCACACACAGCACACCTTCACACGCAGCACACCTTCACACGCAGCACACCTTCACACGCAGCACAGCTTCACACGCAGCACACCTTCATACGCAGCACACCTTCACACGCAGCACACCTTCACACGCAGCACACCTTCACACGCAGCACACCTTCACACGCAGCACACCTTCATACGCAGCTCACCTTCACACACAGCACACCTTCACACGCAGCACACCTTCATACGCAGCACACCTTCACACGCAGCACACCTTCACACGCAGCACACCTTCATACGCAGCACACCTTCACACGCAGCACACCTTCACACGCAGCACACCTTCACACACAGCACACGCGATTGGCTGCTTACTGACCCCGTTTGGTCCCACGATTTACTCAGTCAGAAGCAACGCAGCAACACCGTTGTTTTGAAGATTTACACCCAGAGTCTGCTTTCTACATAATTGTGTAAGCCCTCTCACGCAGCAGAGCCGTCTTCTAAGGCCACGGTGACAATGGGCATGCCATTCTCTGCGGTCTTGCATGCGAGGAAGATCTTAAATATCAAGTTAAAGACACATAGTTCTTAGTTTAAATTCAGTTCACAGAGCTCTATATTATATAGGAAGAGGGAGGGTAATATATGTTGTGTCTCCCCCGTGTCTCCGTCCAGAATATGTAGACTCGGTTTGAAAGAATCAGTAAAAAAAAAGAAACAGGTTAGCTGCCATGGCATATAGGTATACTTTCATCAAGCGCATTGATTTATGCTGGCAGCGATACTTTGCTTTATGCCTAGAAGGCTGCAAGGGAAGTTGCACTGCCAGCATTTGCACGTATGCAGCATCTCAGGCTTGGGGAACGCGGACACTGGGGTGCACGCTGCCGCTCCAGCGACACGAATTAGCAGGCACGCCGGTTACTCGGCAATGCGTGGCTATTTAAACGCGTTGCATGTCTCCGCAATGTAATTGTGCCAGGACATTACTGGGGCGGCACAACCCTGAATTTGAGTTATCTGTGGGCAAAACGAGTCAAGTTTGCCACCGTGGGGTTTTCTCCATAACGCTCATTTGCATTGCAGCAAGAGGAGGGAAACATGTAACGCGTGTAAGCAAGACGCTGGCATGGCCACAATTGCGCTCGCGTGTGCGTGTGTTTGCGAACAAACGCATACCACATGCATTCGCGAAGGGACGCAGGGCATTGATGTACACGTGGATATGGCTCAGAGGACCCACACGTGTGCAGCATTATCCAAAGGGAAAATAAACAGATCAAGGACGAGCTACATCGATTCTCATAGGCTCGATGCTTTTTTTTTACCCCATGGCGACAGAACAAGAAAAAGGCAAGTGATGTTATGTTGGTTAAGCGAATGCATAGATTCTAAGAATTGCAAGACGAACTGTATTTAGCTCGCAAGAACTGCCTTCCCCAACTCTTAAAAAAGCTGAAATGTTCATGGTTTACAATGTTCATGATTCTTCCTATTAAATCCTGAATATAGGTTTTGGGTAGTTGAGTATCACAGTACTCCTATGTCAATATAAATTACTAACTGCCACAAAACACATACAGCTATGACATTGACATTTAACGACTCTCAATGGAAGCAATGACTTCGTGTTTTTTTCTTAATCAGATATATTTTAATTAACCTTACGTATGTATATATTTATAATTACAAGCCAAGTTACAATGGGAATCTTTCCAGAATCAGTCCCGACAAGATTAAATGGTCAGCCAACTTGTACCTCAACCAATATGCTGTTTTTTTGGCAATTTCACTCTGGTACCATTAGCAGAAATAAATATTTATATATATATAATTAACATGTAACCCCCTCCATTGTGCCGTATCATGTTTTTGTATCAACGTTCGTACTCTTTGCTAATTTCCACTTTTTTAATTTCCTCGTACAAATCTGTCATTCCAGTATTCCCAAGCGCTGCATATGTTTTAAACATTCATGGGTTAACGTTACCAAATCTGAGCTGACAGCGTAAGTTCAAAAGTTATTAACGGGGAGAAATCTGGCTTCCGTAACTGGCAGCAACACTCGAAACGTACGCCAGATCATCGCGGTTTGGGGAATTTGAGCAGAGGAAAATGCTGACATTTCTTTGATTTGGTCCGAACAACATTGACAACCCATTTGAAACCTATAAAGAATTACTGTGTGCGCGCACATGAGCGGCGGTCAAAACATTTTAACAAAGCATATTTAAAAGCGTGCACAAACTTTTTAACTTCCTACGGTACTCTTCAATACAATATCAATTTCGTTTAAGAAGGCCCGGCGCTTAATATATTCCATAAACAGTGCAGACAGGCCTTACAAAATAAGCTCAACATCAGGTCGGCAATGTTTTTTTTTTAGCATCTCATTCTCACCGCCCGCTCATGTTTCGTGTTTATAGCGACGTGCAGAACACAGTTACACGTGTAGACAAATACAGTGCACTTTTTAAGGCTCAGATGCAGTTAAATTAAAACAAAAAACATCTGGTACACGGCTCCATCTTCACCTTTAGTCAGATCATAATGCCTACGCTTCGTGCCGTGCTTTTTTCCGGCACCGTCGATGATTGAAAAATGCTCCCATATCACATCTGGCGCCGCGAACGCTGCCGCACTATTACGCCAAGATTTATGTTTCAACTGCACCAGATTAAATCATGTTTATGATGTGCCGGGGAGGGACACCATATGTACCGCCAGGGCTGAGGCTTTTGTGAGCACAAGAAACTCACTTGTTTCCCATCTGTGACAAGATCTGTTGCCAGGTTTCCAGGCTGTTGGGTGGTGTCTCATGTGGTTGGTAGATGATGCCACCATGAAATATCCACAAAATTCAATAAGCTGAGCATGCAATGTATATTGCCTTCTGAATAAATGATAAGATGCAAACTTGCCTCGTTAATTTATTATTGTTGAAGTACAACTTTGACAACAGATTACAAAGTAAGACAATACAAATATAAATATTTTAATATATTTGAGCCCAAGCGCCATTAGGTACAACGATCTAAATTGCATTAAATTATATTCATGTTAAGCCTTAAAGAAAATTCCAACATCTAACCTTCTTTGAAGTTATTCTATAAAGACCAGTGCCAAGAAAAAAAACCTTTCATAAAAGTTAATTTAATAAAATAGTTTAACCCATCTGGACCTGCTTGAAGTAAAATCTGGACCTGGCAGAAGTAACGTGGGGACTTTGTTCGCAGTCTCACAGCAAATGTGCTGCCTCTGAACTTAACACCTAAGGTATTAATATGGAAAATCAGATTAGAAAAGAATATTACAAGATTACCTTTGATTTTTATTGATAAATCACAACTTTGCGCCATTTCCAAGGTGTCTGGAATGGATCGTGGAATATAGCCCTTTTCCCAAAATGTATTGCCGAGCCCAAAACAATGAATCCTTTTCTTGTCATTTCAAATTAGATGGAAATGTATGCAAGCAGTCGTATCTTTTTTTTCGCGCTAACAATGGCTGATTGCCGTATGTATTCTGCCAGCCCCATGGGCTAACGAATGAGGTCAGACAGCTCTCGCAGCGAGCGGCCGAGGCAGCGCTACGGCGAGGCGTTCCGTCCGCGTACATCTGGATCCATCATTATCGCAGCCTCTCAGCGGGGACCAAGCTACATCAAGCCCTTGCGCTTTCCTCCCCTCAAGCCTGTATCCATCATTTTCATCCTCCCACAGCAGGACACGCGTGGAGCGCCCGCCGCAGCGCGGACCCGAGCTGGACAAGTTTATTACCTGCGCGCGTACGCGCTGGCTGACTCGGCTGCACGACCCCGCAATCGGCGGTGCTCACCGCTTGACGCCGAAACGCGCACGCGATGCATTGCGTTGGCAACGGGTGGAGGAAAGCGACCACCAATTGTGAATATGCGATGCTGCGACCCTCCTCGGCCGCTATCTTTCCACGGTGTGGTTTTGTTGTTGTTGTTGCTGCTGCGTTTGTTAGTCACGTTGCTTAAAATAAGTTATTAATATATACGAATGTTTATATTTGCGCGTGCGTGTGTGTGTGTGGACATTTTTCCTCAGCCAGCACTGTCTGATAAGGTTTAAGGTGCTGAAACACGAGAGGTTGGAGTATATTATTCCATAAAAATTCAAAACATGAAAACCAGTACATCATTTATCAATATATAACAGGAAAAGACGTCACTATCTCGGCAGCGCGGCAAGATTAACTGTGCAGAGGGGTTAAGCTTGAAGCCGTCACAGAGCCAGAAACGAAAGAGACAATGCTGCGGGTTCATTTCGGCTGCGACAAAGTGAACAGAGGTCGCTTTATTTGGAGTGTGTGGTTCTACGACTGTCAAATGCTTCGCTTGGTGTGCTCATCCCCGGAGACCCCGCAGTCTCTCAGCGCCCAAGTAAACGGGCCGCGTTCAACCGTCAAATACGTTCAACCTTGGAGCAATCTGAGACTCACGCCTGGAGAACTGCACTGTCAGTGCCGTGTTACGGCTGGTGTATTCCCCGTCCACTGAGTGCATTGCAAATTTAACACGCGTGCAATATTTAACATGTCTAAAGACTTCTTTTTTTTCTTCTCTCTCTCTCTCGATGTTTCCCCTGGGTCATTTGACTCCTTGTGCAAACTTTGCTCAAGTGCCCACATGCGCGCGCTTACAATATTGAACCAACAAATCTTTGTTACACTCGAGCGAACGTAAGACGATAGTGCACAAGAATTCTGTATTGTCGATTCTACGATACCTTACCCGTCGGAAAATAAAGCCTGACAATTTAAGATTCAAGGTGTCACCGTACAAGAAAAAAAAGTTCGAACGCTGTTTTTTTCGCATTTTAATGATTACGCGAAGGATGTTCTAATCTATTGATCTAATAATTAGGACAACCTTTGAAACCCCATTTGTTTGCATTCCCCTAGTACAAGCAAGGTTTAAAATATAAAATACACAAATTACGTGCTTACTCAAACTGTGGTGCATGCACATGCAGAATGTAAAATGGGGTCGACTTCACGCTCCCAGGTTTAGCAAGGGCTGGTGTTGAAAAGGTAAGAAGTGTCGAGAGGCCCAGCAATGCTTCTTAAACAGTGACTGAAGTACGTGCATCACAAAAGATAAACCTTCCTGACGTAACATTGGGAAAGCTTGGGTTTCCTCCACGGCAAAGGGCACTCGCAAAACCCCTTTACGGTACTCGCATGATCGTGGGCCGAGACAGCCACCAGGGATTAAGAGATGGGATTATCAGGAACTGCCGTTAATTTCACAAGCTGTGATACTTGCACTGTGTTTTGGAGCACGGATTACACAAAAAAATATGGAAAGTTGGCCATAACATTACAATAGATGTGGGTATATGGTATGGACTGTAAATATACGATGAACAGAACATTCCATCACAATTGTACCGTTATCTTCCACTGCACAGTTTCTAAGACCAACGCGGAATACTTTCACAACGGATCCATGAGCAAAACGCATTTTCCAACAAGTATATGTTGTTTGTAAGTAAAACCGATTGTAATTACCATACATATTTTTAGCTTATCAAGATAAATGCCCTAAAATCTGATTTTAAGGAAATAAACTGACCCAAATTGGACACCAAACTTTAGCACTGAAACAATTTATATAAAAAAATATATTCTCACAAAGCACTTGCATTTGTCCTGTAATTTTAATCGTGGGCAAGGTGGTCACAATATTTATACGATGTTGAACTTTTCATCCACATAACCATCATTCATGAATTTACAGAAGCACAGCAAACGACATGGCACATGCATCAAATAATCTGAGGTAGTTAATCCCAAAAATAAAAATGGCTATCGCTAACATTTTTTTTTAAGAAAACTGAAACAAAACAATAAATTATAGTGCAATAGTTCGTCCCTAAAGAGGCATGCGGCAAAAATTATACGCAGTGTGCAACGTGGAATTTACTGCACTGGAACACAAGTTGCATTGAAGGCACATACTGCCATTCACACCGCGAGCAACTCCCAGGGGTAGCTGTTTGCATGTTGGATTTAATGCGAAAACAACAAAAACACAAGTGTAGGCAGCTATGATGTCAAACTGCATACAGGGGTGGTTGCCTTACAAACCTGTTACTGATTAAGTGTGCATAAAAAACAATAGTTTTTCAAGGCATCATTTATTATGGCTGTCCTCAATTTGGACAGACACGTACACAGATCCAAAATGTGCTTTGTCCATTTACTTTTCCTAGACGTACATCAGAAGATGTATAAGTAGTAGCAAAAAAATTAGGTAAAAAGACACTTAATTGAATATGCTCCATAAACATACCTCATTCCCATTGACAACTATTATTCTACTAACACCTTGTCATAGACACAAGGTAAGGGCTAGCAACGTTCATTTGTTCAAATTTTTATACTATTTACAGTAAGAGAAAATATATTAGATTTTTTTGCACATTGTAAATATACCAGCAGATATCACTTTACTTGTGTGTGCAAGCATACATTAACAAAGGGCACCAAATGTTATAAACTCCACTTCTCAAAATACACTCCTGCCACCTTTTTATACCCCAATGAGGAAAAATGATATCTGTTTGATGAGCAATGGCACTGCTGCTAGAATAAATCGCTTAGTGCCACGCTTCGGTATAATTGTCAAAATATAAAGGAAGTCTGAATGAAATGATACCAGGGAGGGAAATAAAGAAGGCTGTGTTTTTATTGGCTCATGGTTGTTTTTGCTATCGAGCAAGACGGCTTTTTATTTGCTGCCAAGGTATTAGCAAAGCAATCGGCCAGGGAAAAATAACAATTTAAAAAAACCTATACATTTGTTTGCAAGGAAATAAAACGTGATAAATAAAAGTACTCTTCTTACTCATGCTACCATCAGTTTCTCCTGAGAATTGTGTCTCGAACGTTTGGCGCCCTAATTTCTACTGGCCCATCCATCAACTGTAGGACAAGGGAAATGAAGGTTAAATGCCTCTTGCAAAACCACCACGTTATTTTATTATTAATATTTAAAAAATTAGTGCAACCGCAATAATTCAGATAATACATAATGCTATATTTACTTCATATAAGTACGAAATGAGTTACAATTTACGGGTCGCTGTTGTATCGCCACTGTGTTCCCATATCACAAATAGTTCTAACAATTTTTGTTGCATGAGTTTTGGAACAGGTCAACTTGCTTCGTAAGAACTCTGGTGGAGATTCACAGGAAACATTGAGCGTTATCGCAGGTACAAAGAAACTCAAGACACAAGGTATGTTTTTTCTTTAGTGTCACTGTGAAGACATCAAATAAAATAAAAACCTAAATAAACCTAAAAAAAACTATGTTGCTTTTGCAAAGCAAAATGTGTTCATCTGTATGAAACAATCTTTATTTACAAAAATATTCTTTGGAATGAACAGAAAAGCAGTCTTGAGAAATAATTTACATTATCCATCACATAAATATATAGTATATTTAAAAAGAAAATCTAAATATATGCTCACATCCCACTTCCACAAAATCTCTTTAAATAGGCGCGATAATGGCTATTGAAGGGACACAATTGCCCTCGCAAACACTGTAACGTCACCGACAACACATTTAAGCGGAAGGCTGGCACTTCTTTTTAGATGTGGCCAATGCATACTTTGAGCATTGTGCATAATGTGAATAACACATAAAGGGAACTTTTGTACCAAAATGAAGCAGCAGTTAAATTCACCATAAATAACCGTAAATAGTTTCTCTTTTTTGTCATTTCGAAATTATTTACAAACACAACGGTAGAAAAAGCTTATTAACGAACGATGGCAATGGCACGCTCATTTTGTTTAGAGGACGCCCATTTGTGTTCATCAATGTGTTTTTTTTTTATGCTGATAAGGCTCTCTTCTGGTAGTGTTGATCATCTAACACCGTGCGTGACAATATTAAATGGGCGGCGTGTTGTTCACACGACACTATTAACACGTGCTCATTTTTAGCGAGAATTTTTTTTTTTAGCCGCATGCCTCGTGACGTAGACAACGGCCTTCATTAGGGCGGAAGCTTTACACCTCAGCCGCTAGAAAATGTCGTTGACCACAGAAGACAGGTCCATGTTTCCCACGTCGTCGTTGTCTTGCTCCTGTCCCTCTGCGCTCTCGTGTTCACTACTCCCTGTCCTGTCGAGCGAACCTTCTGCAGTCGGCAGAGTGAATGGGTATGAGAGTCAGCGGTGAATAACAATAACATCCAAAACCAATTTTAAGCCTTTGTGATAAAAGCGACCCCCTTAATAAAAGGCAGCTGATGTTCCTGATTTGTGCAGGAAATTGAATACTGTTATTAAAATAAAGTGGAGGCAAATGTTAGTTCAAAAAGGTAAGAGTCCTTCATAAGTCATCGTCAGTTAGTCTTCTCAGCTTTCTTGAGAATATTTGAAGCCCCTGAAGTACATTATATACAATTTCTAATTCATATATAAAATTGGAATTACTGCAACACTGTTCATGTTATGAACGAGGTTCATAACACTGACGATAAAAGTGATTACAAACAATAATCAAAACTATAATACCAATTACATTTGAAACTAGTCAGTGTTCATAACTGCCAAATGTTAACAACAGCTTTTCAACATGTATGCAAAGCAACAGAGCTTCTAAATCAAATGTAAACTATATTTTTAAAAATAAGGGAAATATATATTTCAAATGAACATCCACACGGCCTGGCTTACAATTGGCAGGCAATCCTCGATAACATCAATGATTAGCATGAAAGACATGTTTATATATAATTTCACCTGAGCATCAAAGCATTTGAAATTGTTTCAAGGCAGTTAGGAAACCTGGAGCCCCCGCGCCCCCACCCTTTAAAGCTTCCACTTTGCCCTGCATTGGACTGAGCCGATACAATCTGGGGGTGGACTTTATCATCACTGAACATACACAGTTTATTCTCCCTCGAAATTGTAACACGCCACTTAAAATAAACGCGAGGCCCAAAAAAAACCAGACCTCGGTCAACAATGAAACTCACTTAACCTCATAAGAATATTACATTTCAATGAAACAACAGAGGCAGTGTACTTCAGGCAGATAAATGTATACATTTCATACTCGTGTTACAGTTTTTTTAAGGCAAATTAAAAAAAAATTTAAGTGGTAACATTGGCTAAAAATGCAACTTGTGTGTGCGACCACCCGCACATTTCTGGCACTGTACCATTAATCAGTTACCCTTCTAGTTTTATTTTATTTTACTTGAATGGGTACTGGGTGCTCGTAAAAAGACCAGCTATGCGCTCAACTCTCTGACTGACATTACTAGAATCAAGTCAGAGCTGCTGCTCAATGCCACACGTGAATAAATGAAAAGCACACGGAAATACACAACACAGGACACTCGTATTAAATTGGCTTCTAGGCCCTACTGTTGCCCAATGGTTAATGGGCCGCATGTTAAGAAAACTCATTATAAAAGTTATCACTGCTAAAACATTTTCGGTGAGTTTTTGTGAGGGCAATTCAGATAGATTAAACTAAATAGCTAAATATGTTAAATCCCATTGCAAAAAAAGTGTTTTCTGAAGCCGAATCAAAATGGATTTGAAAACTCTAACAGCCATGGAGTTTTCATTAAGTACTCACGGGAAATCTCGTGTGCCCTCTTTATGTGGATCTTCATGTTGCCCTTCTGAGAGAAAGCCATGTCGCAGTACTGGCATTTGTAGGGCTTTTCTCCAGTGTGCTTCTTCATATGAATTTGAAGAGCATTTGTCTGATTGAAAGCCTTATCGCACACCTGGCAAATGTACGGCCGTTCACCTGTGACGCATGTAAAAAAGAAAAGTTCATACTTCCAACACATTTTAAACAAGGTCATGCACATGCATCGCTTCGGTAATGCTTTCCAACGTGCGTTTGTCCTCGGAAGTATTTAATTCACGCATGACGTGTGGTATTACGAGATTACGTCGAAACGTAATGATGTCATCAGGAGGGGGTGAACTCCTCCTGGGCCGTTACGAGAGAAACGCCACGTCTTCGAGCGTTATTGTTCACCTCAACTTTAAACAGCGAAACAGGCAGACGGACAGAGCGATTGCACTCATGCCGACGAGCTAAGCTGTCAAGCGTAGGCATCGTGCTTTTTCAACGTACGTTTGCAACCCACCTGTGTGAATACGGTTGTGCCTTTGCAGCTGGCTGGGTTTGGCGAATGACTTATCGCAGTGGTCACACTTGTAGAGGCGTGGCTTCTGCCGAGAGGCAGAGGATCCCGGCTCGTGTGTCTGCATGTGCTCCTGCCGAGGGGGACAGCAACAAGGAAGTGTTTACACGCGCCACACTGCCAGGACACGTGACTGGAGTGTAATATCCCTGGGATGCGTTTTCAAGTTGTACCGCGAGTTATTCAGGTTGATGCCCGATGTTGATCCTCACGTGTTTCGGAGTTTCTCAAAAAAGCTCCGAGTGCGCGAAGATAAACGTCAAGACATGATGCTGAACGATCCGAAAACACATCGGATAGCTACTCGGTAATATTCATGCAATATCTTGCTTGACATTTGTTACTGGGCTCTAATTCACTACCTCGCCTGGTATACAGGAGGTTGTATATTTAGAGTGTGCGTGTTCTTTTCGTGGTCACGTGGATTTTTCTTTGGGTCCTCCAGTTTTTACCTCCACATTTAAAAACATGCGTTTAGATAATTATTTGGCTGCTATATATTTGCACATAAGCCACTTTGTTATCATTTGTGGTCAGGTCACTTCTGAAAAATAGCTATATCCCTCAGCAGTGCCTTACCTGGTAAAATAAAAAAAATGTTTAGTAGTTTAAATAGTCCAAGCATCTGCTTGTGCCATGCTTCAAAACAAATGTGGTACTCATGGTAGCTATGGCACTACCCACATCCCAGCCCTGTACCTTGAGGTGGGTGGCCCTCTTGAAGCTTTTGCTGCACAAAGGGCAAGTGTGCAAGCGGTCCTCCCCATGCACCAATCGCAGGTGCTGACGCAAGAGCATTGGTGAGGTGCAGGGCTGGTGGCACTCAGGGCATACGATGGGTGGCTCCTCTTCGTCTTCCTCCTCCTCCTCCATTGGGCTCTCGTCCGTCAGACTCATGCAGCCCTCACCCATCTGTGGAGATTGGAAACATCGAGGCCATCACATACTTGAACGTAATCAACGCGTAGGCTCGGGAGATTCTGTGCACAAAAAGCGGACGTGACTTTAAAAATACAGATTGAGCTTATTATAATCGCACCTCCGATTAGCACGGTTGGCTACGTACGGCGGTGCGAAAGAAGCTCAACGTACATCATTTTAATAACAGATTCTGATACACGCACAATTTGATACACACATCGATAATCTAACACTTTATTCTGATCGATTAGCTGGTTAACTAGGAAGCGAACAAAAGCTGACACTCAGTGTTACATTTAATGCTTCACGAAATAAAACATAGAATTCAATCAGCAGCATGAATTTAGTTACAAGATAGTGCCATTTGGTCAAATTAAAGTAATGCGGATGAGACAATTGTAGAGAGAAAAAAAGTCACCTGGAAGGTGGTAACATCTCCGTCCGTGGCCCCACTTGTGTGGCTCACTAGAATCATCTGCTGGCTCGTTCCAGCCTCCTGGCCGGGGAGGTTTGGCTCACCCAAGACTGACGGAAACGGTTGCTCCTGTACATGCACAGAAAACATTAGACTCTCCTGCCATTATCGTATTGAGACAGGCCAAAGTATTTCCAGAGCCAGTATTCGTTTTTGACCAAAATGGAACAAGTGAATCATAGGAAAAGCATTCGTGCAACACAATTTATTATTCACAGCAAGATATCTACGAGAGTACATACTTGCTGGTTCATGTGGGTCAAAGGCTAACGTATAATGATTCCTCACAATGCATACATTATATAAAATATACACTTTTGAATTATAAATGCACATGAGATATTGGGGGGGGGAGGCTATGGAGTGGAAGTTGCACAGAAACATAAATCGGCTTTATAAAGTCATACTTAAACAAAGGTCAAAAAACAAGTCTCGGTAGAAGAAAACAAGTTGAGTGGTATAGATAAGTTGAATTGCTTAAATTGTTCCAGCAGACAGGATGGCATGTAAAAGGGCTAAAGTCAATAAAGTTTCCACTGAAATCAAGAAAGGAGACGTGCCAGGGGTGTGCAAGCATGTGTACGAGGTCGGGACACAATAAGATAGATGCAGCATTGTTAGCATCAATAGAGGGGCACAGCAAGCATGTGGAGCAGTAGAAGAATGTTTCTGGAGTCACGGTACTCAAAAACAAAAAAAACGAGACGAGGCCGAGATTAAACGAAGAAACGTGACTTTAACACGGGCCCAGTGTCAGGGCTGGAACACTCGGGAGACGATCTGAGAGAACTCCAGACACGTCCAATCGGAGTGCAGCCAAGAGAGTGAGGAAGAGGAGGAGGAGGAGGAGGGGGTCAGGGGTAAGGGTTTAGTCCTTTGCACCTTTATAAAAGCAGTCAAGGGTGACTACCAAATTAGTATTCTCTGCAGTAGAGGACGCATGAGCATTATGAACACATCTCCTGGACAATTAACCCTTTGGGCACTGTTGTGTCGACTGGCAGGAGGAATTAAAAGATCTCATGACTAGTTTTTGAAAAGTGCGAAGATGAAATTACTATGGCTGGAGAAGTAACTTCTTGGTGAGATGTTATCTTATCTTTAATTTATTTAAATATTAAGTCAAAATCCCCACCACCATAAAAAACAGAGTGTTTGTGGCTTTCCTGGGCAACTAAGTAACTGGTGATAAACAGGTAAACAGGGCACAACCTTGTTTTTGCATTTTAAAACTAGCACAGTCCTTTAACAACTTGCTACCTAATGTTTATAGACAATTGTGATCGACTGATGTCAATTCTATTGATGTAATAAATGCACGAGAAATGTGACATTTGGCAAAAATGTAGTTTGTGGTTATAACTGGAAATATCCAAAAATGAAATTTTTGCTCTTAAAAACCCTGCTCAAAATTAGAGGCAGACATGTGAGCGTCTTTTTTTTACGGAGGCCCATGTTGGTTTACTTTTGAAGATTTTCAATGGCGATGAATCCAAATATGATGCCAGATCTTAAAATCCAACAACGAAAGCAGTATATTGCTTGAAAAAACATTCTGTACTAACAATGCTAAAATATATCAACTCCATCATCATCATAAGCTCCGATTAGCACACTTGTGGCTACATACAGTGTGCGAAAGAAGCTCAGCATACATACATACATCAGCAAATCGAGTCATTCGCCTCGTGCAGAGTGCGACGCCAAAGCCAATAAAAAGCGAGCAAAGGCTGATGCCAGTTAGTTGTTATATTCATTCATTCATCACGCAGTCAGCCAAGGACCGTTGCACTAAAAGTGTGACCTCTTGCGACAGCATTCGCATCAACTGGTCGAGTAGTCTGTCCCGCTATAACGTGGTGGTATAGTTGCGTTCCTGAAGAAGACCGTGTTATATAAAAATCACGTTATAATAAATAATATAGGGGGTAAAGCACAGTCCGCGATAACACGTGAGATGCGTATGCAGGCTGAACAAAGACTGAGGCACGTGGGTAGCATCTAGAAGCATCCAGCAGCATCCCGCCTTGTGTGACGATGACGCTACGCCAAGGCAGCCATGCAACCGCTTATTCCTACTCGTGCGACGTAGTTCCATTCACTCAATCACGTTATATCCAATTTGCATCTGCGTTATTAAACAAATGTGTTCCTCGATACATTCATCGCGTTATATCCACTCCGTTATGAAAACTACGCAGCGTTACAGGAGAACAGACTGATTTATTTGATCCACGTCTCACGAGGGGGGGGGGGGGCAACCACGGAGGGCAGCGTCATTCCTTTGAGGATTCGGGAGCCTTCGAACATCGACCGACGACCCAAGTTGCGCAATTTGCTGCAGGAGTTTACGCATAAAAGATGCGCCGACGTGTCCACAAAGTGACAGCCATCCTCACTCGGAACGAAACTCTCAATCGCTAGGAGACTGGTTGCAGATGCAACGGTGACATATCTGACCAAGTCCGAACCATCGGATGTATAATAATTTATGTTCCGGTGGGGTAGCTACGAGGCCGCGCGTTCCCTCCACACAGCTCCCACCTGAGATGTGATGTTAAGCGTGACAGATTCCATGCCATGGGGGACCATTGTCTGGGCCTCGGCGATGGTGAGGGTCACGGTCTCGCCGCTGACCCCGGCCCCGGACATCGCGCTCATGGGTAACGTCAAGCTGCCCTGTGACAGGCTTGGCTCACTCGTTGTTAGGCCTGTATGGGAGAATATGAAATAATTAAATGCAACAAACGGTTCATGGTCAAACCGCAACCGTCATCGGTGCAAGCGGTGAATACACGCAATGCATTTTTACGTTTTTACGTACCGTTTTGTATATGTTGTCTACAGGAAGGCAGATATTAATACTTCTATATACAGAATTCATGGTGTTTACAAATGTACTACTCTGCAATGTTTTATTTGTATGCTTCAGCATAGTCTACAATATTCCAATGATGTAATTTGTGTGCCTTAAAAGTCCTTGTTTATGTAACTCCATTATTATTTCATTCAGATAGTAGACACAAACATTACAAATACATTTTGCGGCATATATATTTTAAATACAGTCATGGGAAAAAATATAATTTATTGGCAAATACAATTTCTGCACACAGTATTAATACTTTCACATCACCGTACACAGCAAATTGACGATATTTAAGTGTAAATGTTTAAACAGAAAGAAGTCGAACCTGTGTCAGCATGGCTTCCATCGGCACTGTTCTGTTGCTGCAGCAGCTCTTGTCCTGGAATTTAATAATTTGATAAATTATTTCGCTGGAAAAGTGTGCTCGTTATTTATTAGCTCCATAAATTTCAGACCAGTAGTCACTTTGAACACGTAGTTCTGTACCATTATTATGAGACTTGGTGTACTTGTGACCTGACTTTTAAGAGTAAAATTACAACTAAGCAAAATTCATGTGAACTCACTCACCTGATATAGTAAGAGTAATGGACTGAGGTGTTGAAGTGGATGAGAGGGTCTGGTTGGCCAAGGTTAATGTAATCTCATGTTGACCGGAGCTGGAAGTCATTAAAGGCTGGGAAGAGATGACCTGAGATAGCTCTTGGGAACCTGCATGAGGACATTTTTTTTTTAAACAAAAATACAAGGTATGCAAGAAAACAAATGTTAAGCACTTGTATAAAAAAACTTATGAAATAATTATATATAAATAACAAGAAGCATTGTCGAGATGTAATCACAAATCAATGCATCAATTAAAGTATATACTTATGCTTAAGATACATACATCGATTCATTCGGGTAAGGAACGATTAGTTTGATTTGGATATTTTGTAAGTAATTTGTTGGTGTGACTCCTGCAACCAATGCAGGTGATATATATCTGTAAAAAAAATGGTTTATAGAGGTGGCTTGGTAAGAGTGCTCAGCTGACACCTCTGAGATCCTGGGTTCGATTCCAGGGAGTCACCCATGACTAAACTGGTTTCTGAAGTGCAGTGAATTGGTGGCCTTAGACCGTTCACCAATGACTGCACAAAATAACCCATCATATGAAATGTGGTTTCGCACTTAATTTTCCGATATTCCAGCTCTGAAAATTAAAAACATCAGTTTGACTGTCATGCGACGAAGTGCTCTTCAGCAGGGTGTGTAGGGAATGTACTGCCTTCTTTATGTGATCTCAGAAGCAGTTACGTGATATTTATTCTTGTGGATGCTTCCCCAGCATTGTGGCGGAGGGCACACTCCTGCAAGATTTCCAAATATAATTGATTTCTCATGACGCGATGCTGACATGACACGCAGGATTAAATTGGGAACAAATAAAACGTGAAGAAAAACAAAATCTCACGATTCGTTGAATCGAATCGCAAACAAGAATCGTGACAATTCATCCAATCGCGAGGCATCGTCGATACTGCAGCTGCATCGTCAGTGGAGCCGAATTTTTTTTTGAAAAATCTAAAATCAAATCTGCAAAGCCGATTTACCCACCTCCATGGCTGGCAGTGGTCAGTACAGAGGCCTGTTGGCACAGCGACCCCAGGGTGACCGCTCCCGAATTGGACACCGAGCACATGGGCTGCAGCACCACACTTGCAGCAGACACCGCTCCGTCCACCGGCTGGAGCATCATGCCGCTGGTGGACGAAGCCGGCTGAAGCACCATGTTGGGTACGAGGGAGCCATCGCTGTGGTGCAGCAGGATGCTCTGGGTCAAGCCCGCCGACGACACAGACATCCCGCCCCCACCGCCTGCCGCCGCGTCTGCCGCCTGCTGCAGTGTGATACCCGGGGCCATAGCACCGTCTGCTTGCTGAAGGCCGCCGGATTGCTGCACCAGCGTGGCTGCTGGGTCACTTGAAAGATGTTGCTGAAGCAAGCTGTTCTGTTGCAGGGTGTGCTGAAGTAGGCTGGGATCAATCTGATGATGCAGATTACCCAAGGGAATAATAAAGGTACACACATAAGCAAATACAATTAAATGTATTTATTTATACACACACGCACACAAAAAACCCCATCAAAACAAAAATAAATTACCGACTAATACAATATGGAAATGTACCGGAATAAAGCATTTGTTGTTAATAAACATGCGAGCAGACAATTTACTATTGTACGGTGTTATTTTTAATTACCTGCAATGTGATGTTATTGATGGTGTTTGGGTCCAAGCCTGAAATCTGCACATTCTGTGCCACCAGATTTGCAGCGCTGAGCTGGAGCTGTATCCCCTCGAGAGACTGCAGCGTGGCCAGTCCAGAGTCTGACAGCGACACCGTGAAGTCTCCTCCTGTAAAGCCGAAGCATTTAAGCAATCTGACAAACTCACCATTCTTACAACAAATGCATCAACGTTCTCTCATCACAACAACCCACAAATCACCCAGAGCAAATTCAGCCGCTTCGTTGAGCTATCAATTGCGTGGCCAGTTCGCTTCTGTAAAAGTGCTGGAAAGCTCAGTGGACCTTACAAGGTAAAATAAAAAAAAGATGAAGATGAAACTGCACAGGTTAACTTTCTTAAGTGTTTAAAAGGCTCAGAAAAATAAAACAGCTTTACACTTGTATAATTTACATTAAAAACTGCCTTCTCAAAATAAAAGCAGCTTTGACTTACCAGAGATTGAGGCTGGAAGAAGGGCTTGGCCAACGATACCGCTAGACTGCAGCACACTTGGCTCAAACTGTGCTGTGAGCACACCGCCATTAGTAATAAAGACGCTGTGATCCCCGGGTGGGGAGAGCATGCTGACGGGCTGAAGGCTCTCAGAATTCTGTCGCTGAGAAGGTCCTTTGCGTGGCCTCTGTTTCCCACCACCGCTGCAAGCACAGAAGATCAAATTGTCTCCACTGGCATCTAAGCGAATAATTATTACAGCTGTATTACTAAGAAACTGTCAATATTCCTAAATGGCCAATGCACTTAATTTGCTGTCCAAATCTTACATTTGGGAATGAATATATGTCACGGTGATTTGTAATTTTCAACATTTATGAAGGGAGAGACCGTATGTTCACCTGATGCCGATAACCACCCCCGAGGGCTTGAAGTGGGACTGGATGTGGCTCTTGCGATGGCCCGAGGTGCGGAATCGCTGCTCACAGTGCGGGCATTTGAAGGGCTTGGCCCCAGTGTGAAGCCGCATGTGCACCTTAAGGCTGCCCTTGGTGGAGAACGGGGAATTGCAAATGTGGCATTTGAAGTGCTTCTGGCCTGGAGTGAAGAAAGACAAAAGCAAACAAGCTTTACTGCCATATATATGGTCACAAAGGCTTACCCAAAGCTGATATTTCTGAAATGCATTCAAATAATTTACCAAGAAATAAGGAATTTCTGCATTACAGCACCTCTGAGCAGGGCGAACTAAATGTGTTTCATCTTGTATAAAAGCACTCTAGTGGCAGTTAAGGAAAAATCGTAGCATGCTTTTTCAAGTGATTTGCAGAACACTGTCAACTTTTATCAACGCCTGGACAGAAAGCCATCCAGTGTCTGCTTACTCTCTCCTAAGGGAGCACTTAACGCTGTACAGGTATATCTGTATTCATGTCCAACTTGAATTCCAATGGGTTTGAAATCTGCCATTTTAGATTTGAAGCAATATGTAAAATGACAGCAGACAGAAAAGAGAAAGGGGAAAAAACACTAACGACAATTTTATTCCATCTTTGCGCATTTTAAATACCAGTGCGATCTAGCAAATGAAACTAGAAACATAACATTTTTTTTATTAGCCATATACCTTGCTGCACATCAGACAACATGACGCATATAACTGTTAACTTCTTTGCCTGAACTGCTTTATTTGTTTTGAGCAAATAACTTTTTCATTTGTGACCATTTCCGCGATTAACTGACTGTTTCCGCGATTAACACGTTTTAGGATCCTACTATACAAATCCCATGGCTGATTTGGTTTTAATTCCATCATTAATCTTGTTTTAATTTATTCTAGATCAAAGGTAATTTCTGCTCCAATGTGTACCCTACTACAAGCAAGACAAGTTTTCTCAATTACCGAAGTGGAAATTAATAAGAAAAGAAAAGCACACTTTGTCAAAGAGACATATAATTGCATGCAAAGCATTAAAGTAAAATATCTGTCTCTCTGATGTATATGTATGATGCTTAATTGCCAAGTTATGAAAAAAAGTAAATCTTTATATACCCCCTAACTGAATACTTGCCTAATAAGAGCCATCTTCCTATGCAGCCAATTTACAATTCATTTAGGAGGATTTTTCCAAATGAAAACATTTACACTAAAACAACCAATCATTTTTTATTCTCACACAATGTAAACGTGTTTATTTTTCAGTTTGACTGGCATAATTTGAATGATCATTCAAGTTGCAGCATATAATTTTCTAGTTGAGTTACATGAAACAGTGACATAATGAGAAAGCCACCGCACAGTTTGAAAATAAAAAAACGCCTTCAGCCCTACATTTCTGCTGTTATTACATATCAAATTTAAACACTTAATAGGTAAATCTCAATTAACTTTTAATATATCATTAATTAAGAAGGAACATCTGTCATCACAGGAACACCTATAACCATGATAGGAATACAGATAATGACATGCAGTGCTGTTATATTGCTTACAATTCCTACCTGTGTGGGTTTTCACATGACAGTCCAACGTTGACTTCACAGTGAAAGATTTTCCACATTCGTCACATTTGTATGGCTTCTCACCCGTGTGTATTCTCAGATGCCTATGCCAAGAAAACACAATTCAAGGTATTACTTATAGTATGATCACAGGTTCATGTAAACTATTTGCCCGATAGCACAAAACGTACAAAAAAATGTAGACCTTTCGAAAACGCATGTCTTACATCTGTGATTAAAATAACTGCGAATACGTATGAACATTAACATGACTAAGAGGAAGAAAACCTTGCATCACACGCCTCTGATAAGGCCTTCAATCAATTATGAAATGTTGGCCCATCGGCTGAAGATGATGATCCATTTTTATTTAAATAAGCTGCAACTTAATGGATTATACGTTTTTATTTTCATATTGGAACCAGTTAAAACGAGACGCAAAGAAAACCCAATAAATCACCACCGATGGGTGCCAGCACATTCGCTCTATCTGCTAGCACCACGATGACAAATTCACACGAGGACTGACGTGACTTATAGCCACTGGGTCGGTGCTAATTTTTTTTTTATTTGAACGTGGAAGGGAAGTAGCAGGAACAGGAATGGGGTCCGATGGTAGCGAGCGTAACCTGACAAGGTCACTGGGCTTCTTGAAGCTCTTGGGGCAAAAGCTGCACTTGTTGGCGTGTCGCGGCTCGTCGTCCAGCTCCTCCTGCCGGTCCTTCATCTCGCTGACGCGGTCGCGCTCGGCCGCCGACTGCACTAGCAGCTTCTCGGAGACGGAGGCGGCCTCCGCGGGGCCCGACTGGGCCAGCACGGCCGTCTCTTCCTGGGACAGCGTGAGGATGCCGGGCCGCGAGCGCCGCGCCGCCGCCATGCGGTCCGCCTCCCCCTCCTCACATTCGTCGTCTGCAGTGGAAATTCAGTCAGCATCGCTTGTTTAAGTTGCAGTCGTAGTCTCGTCATCGTCAGTCTAGTCTGTGCAATTTTAGACAATATTAAACCCTGGATTTCAGAGTAGTTAATCAAACACCCTTGAATTATCAAATGTTGGTGTACAATGTAATCCCCCCCACACCTCAATATTCAGGTCAGCCAATCAGTGGAATCTGTAAATCTCTTTATAAATGTTTTTTAGTCAAATACCACATGATGGGTATTGCAGTATCTAAAAATATTAATGATCTTAGTCTGTGTCTTCATTCGTATGAGTTCACTTTGTCTCGTCAGTCATGCTTAAAAACGGAGATTTGGTGGATAGTCATAGTAATCGTCACACTTGATGATTTTCACTTATTCTTAATCGCCATTGACGAAAATAAAAACACACACTTAATTGATGGATATTTACCGTCACTAATTACGTGAACAAAATTAACACCGGTCATCTGAGCACGGACGACGCCCGAGACAACAGCGCCACGATTTAAGAAAAAAAAACAAATATGGCCGTTTTAAAAATTTATGCCTTTCCTTAATTAAGATATAAATTTCGAGTGGTCACCTCTGCATTGACTCGCAATCTACATAATTTATCATTACAACATAATCTTTAGTCATGCACACAAAAACACTTTACAACTGATGTAGGCATATAAGTCATTAGGATAGCAATTGTTTCATTTAGAATGACCAATCTTCTGGCACGGCAATATATTACTTTTGCTTTTTAAAGGGTACACCGGTGCACCGAAGCATCTCGAAGCACAGCGGTTGAAAATGCCATGAATTAAACTTTCCATGCAAGTCTAAACAAATGCACTCGGCAAAGTTTTTTTTGTTTGCCCCATGCCACCGCGTGCATCCAACTAATGCATCACAGGCGAGGTTGTGCATCGAGTCCTTGAAATCATATTTCCAGCGCATAGGGGAAGACTTTAACGAGCAGCAACAACAGAAAGGTAGGGGAAGTGTCGAGGTAACATCGCGACGAACCTGCGTCGGCATCGCCGTGCTCCTGGTGAGTGCGCATGTGCTTCCTGCAGTGGAGGGAAGTGCGGAAACTCTCCTCGCAGAACGGACACTTAAAGGGATGCATGCTGGTGTGCATCACCATGTGCCGTGTTAGGCTGCCATTTGTGGTAAATGTGGCGTCGCACAGGTCACACTTGTACGCCTTCTCCCCTGCCAACAAAAAAAAACACCTTCGCTAAAATATTTATTTGCCACTTTATTGAATGTCGTTTTGGCTGCGAGCTCTGTTCGTATAAATGGCTTCGCGACTTTTCCAACGATTCGAGTTTAATACGAATGTAAATGTCAGAAATGTGCTTGGCAATCTTTGTTATGTATTAAGCATTCTTTTTATTTGTCCGTGGATAGCATTATCCAAATAAATGAAAAGACAAATTTAGACCAGTTACACATGCTCATCAGGCAAGCCCTAAAGTCAATGTATATAATAAATGATCCTACATTTTTGTTACTTAAAATTTCATTTGATAACTGTTTTATCAATTAATTATAACACCAAAATAAAGTTTATTCACCCAATTTATGTAATGAGAAGTTAATTTTTTACTTTCCTATCAGGAATAACCGTTTAATTTCAAAAGCATAATTGGATGTTGCATAGAAGCTATTGAAACTGGTCACCTGCTGGTGCTTTTAATGTGTTCTTGCCATACAAATCTGCAGTTTCACCACTTGTGAATCCCCTATATGCTCTGTGTGCCTCATAGGTAATTTCCACAAAGTACATGGTGGTAAGTACTGCATTAGTTAGAGTTAATTAGTGTTACACTTAGAGAGAGTAATCTGAGATCTGGGGTTTATAGTTACAAGCAAATCTAATCAGCGCAATTACACACTGTGAGGGGGTCTGGCTTAAATAACCCTTTATGGAGAGGACAGGCTCAAGAGAGCCTGCATATCTGAGATGTGTGCAGTTATGCTGACAGATTCAAACAGTCATGCTTCTAACATGTAAACGCACAAGGAAAATTACAACAGTGTACTTGTGATTTGCATCAGAGGACAGGCAGAAAAACACATGACGTACCTAAGCTGACCGACATTTTAAAAGGCCTCCTTTTTTAGGCCACACAGTCCACAGACTGAACCCCCTAAGCAGCATCAGCAGAATAAATTTTCGTCTTAGAATTTTCATACATGTCATATTTTGAACATATTCCATATTTTATAAAATGTGCCATCTTCACAAGCAAAAATACAAGAGGCAGAAATATGTTTTTTTTATTTGCTTTGGCTGCAAGATTGATTTAGTGCATATAATTTAAATCTCTAACAAATAATACGTAGCAACAAAAAAAACACCTGCACTTAAGGAACACTTGCATGTAAGCATTTCTGAAATGACAATTAACCGAATTGAAAAAATACAATATCAATAATTAATCAAAAAAAGCTGACGCATCTCGAATATGAAATTAGCAAGTTTGGTGCTTTGAAATGTTTTAAAGGAGATCACAGTGCTCAGCGTGACGCATAGCCTCCAGAAAGTGCACGCACATTCAGAGACAAGCGCTGAACCAGACAGCTGGTGTAGTACGCCCGAGATGCACAATTACACCCCAGTGCGTCCCTGTTTTGTGCAGCTGCTGAACCAGTTTCATTATTCCTCCGCTCCCCGATGAAAATATAGCTTGCACTGTTTAGCCAATCTTCGGAATATCCTGAATTGCAGTGCGACGCTTACCTGTGTGTGTACGCATGTGCGCCTTTAGCACCCCAGAGGACACAAAGCCCCTTCCACATTGTGCACACTTGAAGGGTTTCTCTCCTGTGTGGGATCGCACATGTTGCTTCAAATGGCTCGACTTCTTGAAGCCTTTATTGCAATATCCACATCTGGACCAAACATAGCCTCTGATCAATAAACGCATTCCTTCATACAAATTACAAATGTGTAGGCAATAATCATCAGCCATGATTAATCTACTGCTGGACGAAGGCCTCCAAAAGACGTCGCCATCTCAATTCTTGCTATGCAACGATCCACTTAGCACATACAGTGCACACGAGCTGATTTCATCACTCCGTTTCAAAAATGGATGTCCTCTCGGGCACATGGAAGGCAATTAGTAGAAATTAAACACCTTTAAAAAAAAAAATTTTACATTAAATTCCATTTTATATTTGTTCACATAATATCAGAGAACAAAAAAGGACGCTCAAAGAGATCATTTCATTTTTAAACACATTTTTTACGCAGTAGTTTACTTACATCAATAATGCTTTTATAAAAGAATAAAGTCAAGACTAGTCACCGGTAGGAGCGGCGTGTGGACTCCTCTCCATCGGACTGATATTCAGATTGCTCTGCAGACAGCTGCACTTCATGCTGGGAAGACTCCTGCAGGGACTGCAACAACAAAACAGTTTAGCTTTTATTTCTTGTGCAATATTAGGTGCATTAACCCCCCCAACCACCCAAAAAAAACCTCCTGCATTTTAAAAAGTTTTATATATATTCCCCCCCCCCCCCCAATTATATCCCAACTGTGCTATCAGCACCTTGTCACGAGATGACAAATCTATCGGCGTCAATTCATGCAAAACTTTCACAGAGCATTGCAACCCTTCGAGTTAGAGAGCTGTTGACGGAATTGGACATCACAGAGCTACCTCTGACATCCTTTCAAATGACCTCTGGTCTACACAGCAGAAGGCATGCCTTTTTCACCTGCTCTGTATTTGGGAGTAATGTTTGTCAGACAATAGTCAAGCCAATATTTTAATTCCCAGAGCTTGAATATTTTGTCAAATTAAGTTTTGAACCAATTTTAATTTAATGGCATTTTTTGTGCAGTCATTGGAGACCATCAGCTCACTGTATTTGAGAACCTGGTTTTGAACCCAGCATCTCAGCTGTGCCAGCTCAGTGCTACGACCTCTGCGCCACCTGGCCACCTACAATAAAATCTGGCATATCACGATTTCATCGATTTGTCAATCCACTGCTGTATGAAGGCTTCCACAAGCCATGTCAATCATGAGGTTTGTTTGACCATACTTCATCAAGGTGGTCAGTGTGCATTGGTGAAACAGTGGGGGGGAGGGGAGAGATTGGCCTCAAAAGACCTGTTCAGATATTCACTGCCAATGACGTTAGCTATGGCTTGGAATCAAACTCAGGTGCCCGCGATCATAGCAGAATGTGCTAACCACTGCTCCACTCATGTTACAAGTACAACATAAAAAAAAATCTATTCTGAATGGTAATTAAATGGAAATAAATAAATGCAGACCACCCAAAGCTTGGACTCAACGTAATGTCTAATTCCAGACAGTCATATTTGTGGCAGAATTACACTTAATTAATACGCCATTTTGCGTATAATTTTCTTTTAATCCGAATTCAAATCTCGAGGGGGGGGGGGGTGGTGGAATTTGCAAATGACTTGGACAGCATTGTAAGTGTGCACGTACCGTCAGCATCTCCTGCGAGTGATAGGTCGTCGTTAGAGGCTGGCTCTCGAGAGTGCTGGAAGCTTGCAGTTGCTGCACAGCTGTGAACTGGCCCTGCTGGCCAAAGCTCTCCGTGATTGTAAATCCTGCGATACAGCCACGGGAGGATGAGGTTAAAAACCTATTTTGAATGCTCTATTTGCTCTGTTTCTGCAACACATGACGTGATATACATTTCATTATTTATAGTACCCTCACATGCCTCTATCTTGCTATTAAAAAATATTCTAATGAGATGCCATTTAACATGCTCATTGCTGACATTTGCAGACACTTAACATGCCCATTAAACCTACAGACTAAAAATACTTGTTTTCTCAAAGCTCTTGTGGCTAGATTGGCACTACCTACACTTGTTTTAATTACAGGTAGCAAGTCTCCCACTGTCAATTATTAAGCATCATGGACTGCAAATATATTACTATTTCAGTGTTCATTAACGGTTTTCAACAGCAGATGTTTTTTGATGGAAAACAATTTGTCATTCCACGGGGAAAATTACCGTAGGGTTGAACTCTTAAATTTAAAATATATTTTACTTCAGCACTGTGCAACAAAGCAAGTCTGCTTCTCATGCCAGAAGTTATGCCTTGGAGACTTTCACTTACCCTGAGTAAGCGCTTGCTGTTCGTAAGTCTGCTGGCTGAGAGTCTGTTGCTCAAACTGATCCATATTTGCCTGCAGCCCATGTTGTGATGTGACAAATTCTTCCTGAGACAAAGCTGATCGAAAGGGACACAACACAAACACGCTCACGATAAACTTCACAGTATTTACTGCAAATGTCACAATACACGCTATTCATTTGGCAGAGAAGTAAATTATATGTGCATAGCAGTCACCGTGCTTCATGCGACTTACATGTCCCTTGCACGAGCTGCTGCTCGGCCAGCTGTTGTGTTTGTTCCAATCCGATCAACGTTTGCTGCTGAGCAGACTGTTGCGGAGCCAACCCGAGCAGGGCTTGCTGGTCAGAAGGCTGTTGCTGACCCAATCCCAGCATTGCCTGCTGCTCGCTGCTGACCGTCGACTGCTCCGGTGTGAGCACAAGCATGCCTTGCTGCTGGGCACCGATAGCGGACGGCTGCTGCAAGCTGTCCCCCTGGTGGCTTGCCATGTCTTCCATGTGCTCGGTAGGCAGCGTGCTCTGCTGCTGCAACTGCTGAGCCAGCTCATACCTAGGGAAGCGATGGATTTATGGATTTTACCTATTGGAAATATTTTAGCAGGTTGAACACATTTGCTCAAGTGCAACCTGACCGGATAATCACTTCCTGATGGTTTCGTAGGGCCAAAATGCCATTCCCAATGCAGAAATGAGAGCATATTATCAAGATGCACAAGGAATATATACAAGAGTAATTATCATACACTATGAAACTATTGTAGACAAGTAGTGGAGGACGTCATGTCACTCAGGGGGGTGAGAATGGATGACGTCAGGTTACGGGAATATATAAGAGGGAACCCGTGACGTAGAGGGGGTCGTCGCGAAGGGCCAGGAACGAAGAGAGTTAGGGAGTCGGGATCCAAAGTAGGGAGAATTAGCGCCAGGCTAGAGTGATACTTCACCCGGCTGACCGAGTTGGATGATCCCTCGGTCGGTGCTGGGGGAAGATCACGTATAGCCTGGGTGGAGCTAGGGACCTCCCAGTACCCTTTCCCCTGGGGAGATATTAGGGTTGTCACCTGTTAGGCGTAAGCCTTTAATAAGTTACCGGCAGTAGCCCTTAAAAAACCTTGGCATCCGCCCCTACTCAAGAACCGTGTCAGCGTCGTCAGTTGCACCTCAACACTATGATAATAAAAGGTACACGTGCAGCCCCCTCAATGGATTGCTCGGGTCACTGCTGGTGGAAGGGCCCCGATGAGAGGGAGCTCTATAAAACCCCTCTACAGAGCACGTGGCCTACTTTTCCACGCTCCAATAGGATATTGTTGATTCAACTTTTAAAAGTTGTTATATCTTAGTTATAATATACGATGTAGCTTATCAAATATGCATAAAGAATTGTAAAATGAAATACAAGTGGCTTTATACATTATCTGCAATGATTGGTTGTCGAAAATCTTTAACATATTCTCAAACGGTGTTCTGACCTGTGCGTCTTCATGTGTTTTTTGCAGTTGACAGACGTCTTGAAGGTTTTCTGGCAGTAAGGGCACATAAACGGCCTCGTCTCGCTGTGTGTGGACATGTGGCGCTTGAGGCTGCCATTGGTGGTGAAGGTGCCATCGCACATGACGCACTTGTAGGCCTTGAGGCCCACGTGCGTGCGAATGTGGGCCTTCAGCACACCCGACGACACAAAGGAGCGGCTGCACTGCCCACAGCGGTAAGGTTTTTCCCCCGTGTGAGATCTGTAGACAACAAGGCCACAAAATAAATGACAAAACACTGCTCTGGCCTTTGATCAAAGCGCTTGGAATGCATCCCGATTAATACGAGATCTCGGAAGCCAATCTGGTTTGAGCCTGGAGGATAGTGTTGGATGGCCGACCGCCATACGTAAGACAGGTGCTGTCGCCTGCTGCAGGCCTGCATGATCAGCAGATGGTAGTGCAGCCAAATCCACAGCTGTACCGCACTTTAGTGCAACATACATGGCTCCCCATCTTTATCAAACCGCACTGACCAGAATGTTGCAGTATGGTGCAACAGCCCCCACAAACAGCAGGACAGGGGAAGGCCCTCATCCAGCAGTGGATTTATCAAGGGGCTGTACACAGACAGAGGAGCCTTACTATCATGTAATATTCGTTGAGCGTGTATACCAGAGGCAACATTTATATGTACGTTGATACTTTGTAAAAACATTGACCGAATTTATTATTTTTCAAGCAGGGCAGACATGCTTATTTCAAATCCAGTTATTGTAGCCCATTACAATTATAAAGCTGAACAATTATCTTATAAGGAATTAAACTTTATGAGGGCTTTAATGGATGGCAGTAACCATGATAATCAACTATCATGGCATTCCTAATTAGAAACTAAAATTTTGCCTCGTATTTGTTTGAAAAATAAATTTCATACTCATTCCTGTAATGTTGTGCATTCGCAACACTGCAGTTGGTATGGCATATTTTAAGGGCATCAACGATTTGAATTCAATGTCTTCAAATTTCACTTTCAGAAGGTTATATATCTTATAACCCTTATTTTCACACAATCATATCTAACCGTAAAATGCTCTGACCAGTTACAGAATCATTCTGACTTGCTGCAATTAGTATTTAATGCATGTATAGATTTTATACTTGCTATGAGCTCCACTTAATAACTATAGCAATTAACTTCAAGTGCCCACTATAATAGTTACTTTAATGCACTTTTATATCTTTTCCCTTGAAGTGTTATTCTGTTCGACTTCTATACTTACAAAATATGATCGTGTAGGTGTAGACGTGTATTATGTTACATTTATTCAGAAATGAAACTAAGAAAACTTTTTTTTCTAAATTATACTCTTTGAAACGGATTGTGGTGACGGTAACATTGACAAATATGCTTTTCATTGTTTTAATTCACAGCAAATTTAATGCACAGTGCACCGATTCATCCACAGGACGTGGAGCTCTGGAAGCATTATTTACCTGATATGCTGCTTTAAGTGGCTTGATTTCTTGAACGCTTTGTTGCAGTAGCCACAGCGATAAGGCCTGTCTAATCCTGATCCATCTGACAACATTCCATCAGGCAGGTACTGGCTGTACATGTGACTGCTGCGGGTAACTTGCTGGATCAGCCCTGCAAAAGGGGGATAAAGAGTTGACGAGTCAGATTGAGACAGACACTTCAAAGCAGCCTCCATTCACCATCTCCCACTGCTCTCTCTATGGGACAGGTAATGTTGCCAAATGCATTATGCCGCTGCTCACCAGACCATTGAAACTCCTGTTAAAAATTCAAAAGGAGAGAACTCTGAACGATGTCAACTTCAAATTCACAGTTAACGTCACAATACGGCACCACTCAAAATGTCTACGCGACAACAGTTCCGCGTGTAAACGAACGTTGACTTGACATGATTTTCATTTCAGGGTCCGCTATTAGCTCTATTAATAAAATATAACCAGTAAACAATTACTTGTATGTCAAAGTGTCGAAATAATGTTGCGGGTCATACCAGACTCGGTGATGAGTATGGGCTCTTGCAAAGGTATCTCTGGGAGGCCCATGTCTTGCTTTGGCAGTCGGCGCCGGCTTGGCTTTCGTGGAAAGCGCTGCTTTCTCATCTGCGCATCCTTAAAGTGAGATGCAATGTGGCTCTTTCTGTGGCCCGATGTGCGAAACTTCTTGTTGCAGTGTGGACAGTCAAATGGTTTGGCACCTGGCAGGAGCAAATGTGGACAATAACAAGTAAGGATTTTGGCACTTTAAAGCACTATTGATTTTTCTTGCTCACTTGCAATTACAATAATAGCCAATGTTATCTTGTTTCTGACCCAGGTCTCCCTTGGAAAAGATATATGGCGACTCAATGAATTCCAACCTGTTTATCTAACGCACATCCAGCTGTGAGTGACCGCGCGACTGTGATAAATGTTCATGTTCTCGAAGGGAAGGAAAGCTGAAATTTGGCACGAATAGTTTGACTTCATGTATAAATAAATTCAGTAAAAAAATCCAAGAATCTATTTTATTTATTGTGAATCCCGCCTTCGAAAATTATGGGCAAACATTTGATGTTTTGTTTTTAAAGCTAGACCCGTGAAAGTTTCCACATTCATACACTTGGCAGGGGGTGATTTTGATATAAATTTCAATTTTTTTAATTTCAACATTTTAGATTTAAATTTGGCAGGAAAAAAATTGTGAACTTTTTCGATTTAGAACCTAGTCGTGCAAATATTTTGTGTCTGGAGGTTTTCAAGTGTCACGATTACAAACATGAGATCAGACATTCCACGACTCATTTTTCAAGTGATTTTAGGAATGCGACACACATAAAGCTTAAAAGTGGACAAAGCCCACCACCGGTTACTGGTGCGGTACATAAATGAATGGTAAAGTGTTGATTGCAAAACTATTCTGTTCCTAAAATATACAATCGAGCACTGCGTAAATTATGTGAAATGCAAAAGAAAAACTTAAAAATCAACATGAGCCATTTTCTAAAACACTGTCGTATTTGCTACCATAAATTGATATTTCGTTTGCGTTTTTAATCTGAGACCCGTGTCAATTCATTGGTGTCCAAATGTTCAGTAAATGCAGTCGCGCTAAGAGTACTGTGCTGGCCAGCATCGTTTTGCATTTGTGTCTGCATGCAATAAAGCTGTAACAGCTAAAATTTATTTTTCCCTACCTACAATATAATGAAGAATCGTCACCCTCTGTCCTTTTACTGCCCTACGCTGGTCATGTACCCACCCTCCCCCAACACCTTCCAAACCAGAGCAATGTTAGGGCTGCCCTCCCCATCCTCCCAGGTTAATCCTTGCATGGGCCTCTCAAAAATTATCTCCTGTCTGCAGCGGCTTTAGGGCTGGCTGCGTTAATAGCCTGGCCTGACTAATTATCTCTAAATCTCTCCGACCTGACCATCAATTAGCATGCAGATTCCTCGCTTTAATAAGCTGCTCCCTCCCGCCCGTCCGAGCATCGCCTCCTCCATTTGGCTGACAGGGCGCAGGCACACTCGGCGCACATTCTAAATGATGTTTGCCCCTAAATAATTGGGCCTTTGATTATGAAAGGGTTTCAAATGCAGGAACTTTTGTATCTTTAATGAAAAGTAATTATCATCATTTCTGCATTCTTGGCCAATTTCAATCCCTAGGCCGATTGTTTCTATTAAACCCTTTGCTTTTGACGACACTCGGGATAATTAAGCGGCTCTTTTACCTTTCGCCTTACATCCACCTTTTGTGCGGCGGAGCCAAGTGTCTGACATTTTATAGCAAATGAGGACACAATATTTGAAGGTGTGAATGAGAAATTAATTTTAAAAACAATATTTTACACCATTAATTTCAAATGTCATTGGAATCCAGATAGCTTTTTAGTGCTTTACTTTGCATGCAGCCATAACCCTCTGGTCGGAATGCTTAACAATCAAATAAAAATCATTTACAAACACCGCACAGAACACAATATATTTGAAGCAACATGATAAAAAAAAAAAAAAAAAAATCATAGTAAGGTTGATGAATGCATCTTGCGGCTTTTTTTTAAATTTCTGGAAGTGTGCAAAAATCCACCGCATTTGAATTTTATTCGCATTATTAGCAAATAGCCATTATCACAGTGAGCGCTAACTGCAATTGAGGATAAGACAATGAATGCATCTGTGGACAAATGTGTCTGCAGAAGGGTGAAGAGAGCAGCGCCACTGCCACTCCACCGGCGGCGAGAATCACTCATCCCCATATGTAATTGCATTTCACGTTCTGAAGGAAAGCCCTAACAAAGCCATAACGAATATTAATGATGTGTGACATTCTAATATGTTAATTTTTGACAGATTAAAGTATTGCTCGCATAACTTTTTATTTCTACATGAATAATTGATCCATGCAATTTAGTTCCAGGCATGCATGTTAATTTCCTGAATTACTTCTGTAATATGCAAATTCTCAAAGGCCCCGCGCACCTCTTGACGATGAGACAGGTGAAAATTACTAAACAAAAATTACTTTTATAGTCACATACATTTCACACTCTGCTGTACTTACAATCCATCTTCCGCTACAAAATTAACTTAATGTCTAGGTTGCAATTAAACACAAACGTTACAGCTAGAAGCATCAATATAAAATTTACAAACAGCAATTCTACACAGCGCAATGGGTAATATTGTATAGTTTGTGCGTTATGGTAATTGCACCCGATTAAAATTTCAGGTACGTTTTTCATTAATTTTTTTGGTATAATTTAAGAACCAAATTTCTTGTATTTAATAAACACATGCCTATACTGCATACCACATATTAAAATAACATGTTAATTTAAATATTCATTTGTAATTGTTATCTACCCCCCCCCCACCAATGCTGATTAAACAGTTGCATTAGATTATAGCACAGAAAGTAGCTTGCAAATGTTATTCAGAGAATTATTAAATAATTTTTAAATATAATTGGGCACTTCCTTTTCATGGTGATTTTACCAAATGGTTCCAACATTTTTAGGCTTGCAATGGAGCAAAATTTTACAAAGTCAAACCTCAATTATTCTAGGTTAAAAAGACAATTGACAACAGAGTTTAAATATACATAAATGGATGCCGCTACGTTAATCATATTTTTAATCAATTGAATACCGTGTTAAAAAAGAAAATACAATTTCCGACGGAAACTTTGCATCGTATCTAATCAAGACTACCTGCAGTAAACACTGGGACGTTGCTTTTGTTATCAACAGGAGACTGGAATATCCCCCCCCCCCTTCATAGGCACCACGAGTGTGTAAGCAGCACATGAGTAAAATGTTTGAAACATCCGCCCTTTCCCCCAGGAGCCATTCACAATGTTTAAGGAAAGTGGTCAGTTAACACCTAGTAGGCTTTCACAACCAATATTATACATAATCCATAAGGCTTTTGGGTTAGATCGCGTACATATAAGACACATTTATATTTACGCAAACAAGAGGCCATTATTGCAATTTGAAAAGGAAATGATTGGTCAGTGGTAATTTAATGTTAAGGAAATGTTGAGAAAAACCATAAATAGTCAACTGATAATGTTGGGAGTCAATGGTGGGGCCGGTGATGCAATGCACTTTGAACTTGGATATCGGAGTTTGATTCCTGACCACGGCTAACGTGAGTGGGGAGTGATATCTGAACCAGTCCTGGCCCCCCACCCCCCATCTCATCAACCCACACTAACCAGCATGGTGACATATGGCCAAACAACCCCCATGACCGACACGGTATTGGAAGGACTTCATCCAGGAGTGGATTGACAAAAAAGCTCGAAATGTAATGATGGTGGAGAGCATTACTCATTGTAAAATTGGTCAAATGAAAGCGAGAGTTAAGTATTTAAGTATTTGGAGTCATATTCCTAGTGTTCAAAAATGTATCCAAACAAGCTGCCGATTTGCATTCTTAAACATTCATCTCTCCAAAACGAGATTGCTGCTCATTTTAAACTACAGTACGGTTTTGTTCATATATATTGTGAGAACAGGTGGTGAGGTTTGTTATTTTATCAGCCAAACCCAGTACATATGCGAATGAACAGAAAACGACGATTAATCATTTACATGTACGCCCACACGAATACACGCTCACACACACTTCCCATCACACACTTCCCACTCTCCAACTTTGGTTGGAAACTGCCATTCTGTTTTCATTTCTCAAGCCTAATGAACATCTTTGGGCCAATACATTGATTGATAATGTTCTTTTTTCTGAGTTTACATCGATTTCCCATTTTCTTTGCCAACTATTGAGAAATGCCGCAGCAGAAATCAAAAGAAAGACATGATGTAGATTTCCCTTAAAAGAGAACACTGGTAATGAACCCCGTGTTAGCGGGGCTTGTAAACGACCATAAGAAGTTACCTATCAACAACAAAGAGCAATCACAAAAAAACAAACTGCCCTATTATTACGCGACGTCAAAAAATATAGCGTGGAAGCCTGCAAGATTTCTGTAAGCCAGTCATAATCAATTGCACCCTGGGCTATAAAGACAAGACGCGCCATCATCGCATTCCGCATAATGCATAGAAATGAGGCTGTCGTGTCCATTCGTAACAGAGGGCAGCCGATCTCCTGGCTGAAAATGTCACAAAGAAGCTGCCACACAATTAGCGCCTGCAGACAGGAGCGTCAATTACAACCGTAGCTGATTAATGAAATGAATCACTCTCCCGGCCTTTCCTGAGCAGAATTAATCTGGTTAATCAGAGGTAATGAGGTCCCGACCCTCAGCAAAATCAGCGCTTTTCTAAAGTTCAAATGTCCCAACGGTCGGCTAAAACACAAATCTTTTATCCTGCAATTATCATCCGATTATATATTGTTAGTGTTGCTTTGTAATAATACAACACCCTAAACTTGTAATAGCAATCACAAAGGATCTGCCAGCTATTGCCAGATTTGTCTTACATATTGTATTATAAATAATGAAAGCTCATGAAACCTTAAGCTGTTTATTATTAGATTCCTGTAAAGTAAAATGTTTAAAATGGCTTTCAGCATCAATTACAAAACAAGCGCACCGCATTAGCATCACTCTTCACATAATAATACAACACCCAGCAGGGAAGGGCTACAGACACCTTAATTGTTCAGAAACACTTTAGACGCCTGTGCATTTTAAACAGAAATTAAGCACTCGCCCCATTACAAGCATGATACACTGATAAACAACACACGACCGTTAATTCGCTCAACATTTGCGCGTTTAAATATACGCCAACTTATGCATTTCTAACACTCACGTTCCCGATCTATTAGTTATCGCCAACTGGGACTGAATATCAAATTACTTCAAATGTTTTATTTATCAGTTCAATACCCCTTTGGCTCGACATTTCGTGATTAAACTCTTTGTTAGAAACCTCTAAATGCCAGCTTAATGACTACAAATGCGGCATACCAATAGATGTTAACAAGAAAGCTATTGCCCAATAGAAATGTATACGATATGGCAGCAACAACCAATAAAATGCGTGAAGTTCACTGTAGTTCACACTATTAGCAGCAGGAGTCACCAGAAAGCTACAAGGCCTATCAGGGAGGTCTGCAACATCAATTCAAGTGATCGCCATCTGTACTTGTTCTTTCTGTGCTCCCATGGGTGAAGCTATAAACTAATAACGCCTCACCTTTTCCAGGGGTAAAAATGGATAGTCACCCAATTTAGCACTGATGTACTTTTTGCAATAAAACACTTTCACATAACAGGCACACTGTCATTAGGTTGCAACATTCAATACATCACCCACAAACTTCTATATAAACCTTTGCTTCATAGGCAGGCCAGTAATATAACATGATTTAAATCTCTTAAAATTCCTCAGTTATATATTACGGCACAATTTAATGGCACATTCTCCAAGATGTTGAAGTGCCTCATCTGCAGTGCGTCAAAATTATTGACTTTCAGCATCCAAGACTAACACAAGAAAAGTTTATTGACTTAATAACCACGGCATTAGAGGGCAAAAGGGATATTCGCTGCATATGCCTGGAGCAAATAAGACACATCCTCTGTATTATCGGTCAAATATTCAGCTGCAATTCTGTTGAGAATTTCCAAGGTACTTAAGCACTGGCTATGCACACATTACTGGCTTATTATATAAACTGACTCACAATGCAGAATTGTGGCATAACCTAGCATTGACCTGCATTTGCTGCCAGACAATAACATATGATTGCGGCTGATTTAGTGCCTTACTTACAGTGGCAAACTTCCGAATTGTTGGGTATTGGGCGCCCACTGGGCTACATTCTTTGCAACCGCATTATTTTACCCAATTTCTATACATATAAAAGTAATACATATTCATAATTGTTCGTTTCCCCCGTGGGATTTTCTGTAGCAACATCTGGATAGATAAAACATTTACTTAGCATAACAGTTTTTTGGGATAGAGGTTAGGAAGTATGATGTGTGATTATAAACGATGGTATAAATGTGGACTGCTTGTGCTGTTTTGCTTTAAAAAAAAAAATTGTGCCAGCGTCGGTCCGATATTTAAGTCAGTGGAGGTTACCATTCACGTACATTTACATTTAATAACACAGCAACTGCATGGGGCTGCTTAATAAGCCATGTGTTCAATTTTGGCAGGCACTGTCATATTCTGTAATAGGTATGTAAAATGCAATTCAATAAAGATGACATTCATAAATGTTGTTTATGCTCATTCTACCCACACCAAGCATACGAATTAAGGAAATTACTAAATATTTCATGTGTTTTAACTTGTTCAAAAATGCTAATGTTCATCAAACTTGCCACAGGGATTTAGCTGTCATCTCACTGCATATACCGTATAATATTTGTTTTGCAAACAATTATAGAGGAAAAAAATGTTGTTATGAGAGAGAACGGATTTGGTGCATTACATAAATACAAATAAAGCTCGTATTGTTTCATTTGTTAACATGGCCCCTTGCTCTGCCTTCCTTTAACCAATTCACATTTGTATCCAGCAATAAGACTGAAATTTACATGGAAGCAGCAGAACTCCTCTTGCTTTTTCTTGAGCAGATAATCACAACGGCGGACTGTGCCGTTTAAAATCCGAACTAAATGATACAAGAAGTAATGACTTGTAATTGTCTTGCTAGAGTCTTAAATGCAGATGGTACATTAGAAAGCAATGCTACAGATAAATGGGTTAACGAGCTAACAAATGATTACGAGATGGTATTGGCGCCCAAACAAAGACAGTCAGGAGAGGTCAGCATCAGGTCACTAACATGCATCACTTACCCCATGGGTAATACAAAACAAACTCTTAGCCTTTCATGCACATGGTAGTTTCCATTTGTATTCTACCTAATTTACGGATGCATGGTATAGAGTGAAAATAAGAGGATAACGCTCCCTAACCATTCTTTCGTAGTAGGGTGTCTGTTAGATCGCCGAAAGCTATTCTTTTAACTACTCTGCCATACGTGTTGTTACGGACATATACAAACTCAGGATTGTTTTTTATCCATGAAATTGCATGGACACGGATTATAAATATTTCATTTAACCAAGATTAGCTTTTCAATGCTTTTCAACTAAGGCGCCACGGTGGCGAGATAACTACCTCGTCTGATACACAGGAACTTGTGGGTCAAATCCTGACCCTGATGCATGTTCTCCCCGTGGTCGCGAGGACTTTTCTCCATGTCCTTTGGTTTTTTCCTTTCACATTTATAAACGTGCGTTTAGAGTATTTGGCTGCTATACATTTCCACATAAGCCACTTTGCTGCGCTATGTGGCCAGGCCACTTCTGAAAAAGAGCTATAAAGCTCAGTGGGCCTTACCTGGTAAAATAGTTTACAGTTTAGTTTTATTTTAGTTTAAGTGTTAATGAACTAATGCTGTCTTCTGTGATTGGGGGTACAATAACGCCCACAAGATAATCCAATATAATCACATTGTTTGGCCTTTCCCAAGAGAAAATTTATCAAAGTGATTAAAAGGTTGCTTAAAACATGGTACTGAAAAAAAACTGCTAAAAGGATCCGTTTTGCCAGCCAGGGCGCTTGCATCACACTGGTCACGTGCGTGACTCGCCGCCTCTCCTGATGGAGTCATTACGCGTGACGTCATCGGGCTTGGAACGTAACTTTATCGTCGCTAATTAAATACATTCAAAGGACAAGCGCGTGATTGGAAAGCGTTTGAGAATACACACAGTATTACTCTTAAGACAACATTTTTTGTACGTGCCGAATGAAAACTGCAGTTTAAGGAATCCGAAAGTAATTTGCTTCCTCTGAATAAAAATATGCAAGCGAAAATGCAAACGCAAGCCAAGCAAAGGCAACAAAGATAGAAAGAAAAAAGGAAAACATTAACCAAATGAAAAAAAGTGCAAACTATGAGCACTGATGATGAACCAACATCTGCGAACCAAATGCGACCAACAGCCTGTACTGACGTCTTGTAAAGAAGCCACTATACACATTAGGGGCATAATAATTCACCCCCCCCCCCCACCAATCCCTTCCCCCCAAGCGATGTGATGAACCGTTGTGATTCAGGGTCACGATTTGACTCAAGAATCTATTCTTTGTGGGTGAACATCGCAGCCTCTGGCAGCCGAAGGGGTCACATTAATCCATTACATTCAACAAATATAACCAAAGTTTAACACATAGGCTTTCGCGACCAATATTATCCATAATCGAGGTGTTTTGGGTTAGATCGCGTACATCTAATTGTCTTTTAACCTGCCATCACCCGACACAGCCAATTAGTAAGGTTTGTCATGTAAATACAACATCCCAATTAGTTACCAGTTCAGCACACCGGTGTGTTGGAGAGTAAACCCACACAACACGCAATTCAACACACAGTTGACATTAAACAAAGAATCGATGCAACATTACAGCCCTACGGATAGCGCGACACTGCATGCATTAACATGCTATGTTGCCTCTATACTTTTTAAACACGGTAGATCCGGTTATGAAGCCGATGCTCGTGACAAAATGTGGCTGCTGTCCCGACTATGAGACAAGTTGTTTTTTTGTTGTAAAACTGAACCCAGGTTGTGGATGAACAACTTGAAAGCAAGATAGTTTGAGGTCTCCACGCTCGCCCGACATTTGTTTGCCAGAATAGTTATTTTGTTTCACCGAGGAAAAGCTCACCCACCATTGCACCACTGGAAAGGATCACCAACCATTGTACCACTGGGAATGATTGGCAGGCGTGTACAAAGTAACCAGCAGAAACTGCTGGGAGCACATCGACATTCCAAACTGTCTCTCACTTTGAAGCTACGTGTCCAACTTATGTAAGCTTTGCTCCGAACAACTACGATGTGCTATGTCATGATAGAGCACAATGTCTCCATGGAATGCACACAAAGCATATTAAACCATCCGGCATTCGGTTTAAGAGTCAAACAAGGTTTTTTTTAATGAATCTAAATTTGCAGCTAAAAATGTATTTAAGTCCACTCTATTTTGCTCACGTGTATTGTTAATGAGATTGAGTGTTAATTGCCGCAGAATAGTGCAGAAAGTATCCCCACGCTCAAACAATAAGCAATGTTCTTCCCTATTGACGGTCATGAGCCAGTGGTGAAATTTCCACATCCTTGACCATACTTTCCCATTCTAGTTAGTACAGCTTTGTAGAGGGGGTGCTCAGGGCCGGTTTCAATATCAAGCACCACTGCTGTTCGCCATGGCTGGGAGTAAAACTCAGGTGGACCCGGCTCGCGTAGAGCATTAACCACTGCGTAACTGTTCCACCCCTGGTCACCAAACTATTATCCTATTTACAGTATATTATCCCACGATAGAAATAGGAGCTGTTCCTAAATGTGTACAATAATATTTCGATACATAAGGTGCAATCGAAAAAAAAAACATGTGTGCCGTTCCGATATAATTAATTTGCGAGTCAGTGAAAGAGGTTCACGTAGCGCAACTCACCTGTATGGAGTCTTATGTGGACTTTCAGGCTACCCTGCGTTGAAAACAGCTTGTCACACAGCGGGCACATGAACTCCTTGAGACCGGTGTGCGTCTTGCGATGCGCGGTAAGCGTGCTCTTCACGGCGAACGCGCGGAAGCACTGCGTACACTTGTAGGGCTTCTCGTGCGTGTGGATGCGGATGTGCCGCACAAGATCGCTAGGCTTCTTGAACTCCTTGTTGCAGTAAGGGCACATGTGCCAGCGCACGCCATTCACTCTTCGCCACGTCCCTACTGCAAACACAAAACATTGTACATTATAATAGCCTTACAAGGTTTCATCAAGACATTCAAAACAGATTTTCAGACTCTAGTTTTCACGGTCCACCACTGTACGTCTTTCCATGTATCCTTGTCCGTTTACATATACGAGCACACAATTAGTCACCCTCATCTGTTAATATTTTCGAACTTCATTGGACTATGATCAGCCTAAAAATAATCTGAGGAAACTTACATTGGCGGGAATTTTTAATTTACCATATTGACTTATTTTTGTGCAATCTTTTCGATATCTCATGTGACAGTTCGTTTTTGCTCCAGTGTCTATTTGCTTCATTGCTGCAGTTTGGATTTGCTTTTGCAAATTTTGGTGACCCAAGTGACTCTCCAAGAAGGCTATCATGGTCTCTGTAGTTCTTACCTTAAACTAAACAAATACATTCGAACTTGGCCAATCTTCTTTGTTCAAATACAAATTATTACACACTGCATGTGCCTGACTATTACGTAACACATGCCATGTGACACAGACAGCACCGATTCAAATTGCGAGGATCCCAATTTAAATAACGGCCATGTCACATAGCGTACACATACACCCACACAAAAACACTACAAGATCTGAATCTTAAATTGTATCATCCTCTACATCACTTTGGATGTGTTTACAATCACCAGGTGCTTGTGGCACACCGATTTTGCTTGTAATTTAATAGAGAAATTGATATATGTGGAAAGACATATGTTAAGAGGATTGCAGATTTGGAAACACATTACTGCTACTTTTCAAACAAAGAAAGTTGGGCTCAATGCATCGTTGAGGTTCAGTGTTCGCTTCCCACAAAACTGGTAAAGACCACAATGAGTACAGTATAGCTGTGAAAATCAATGCACAAAATGATTTTATTTTGGTCCATATGGTTTATGGAGATTTTTATGTGTGCCAATGCTCATATGCGAGCCAGAAAGTGTAATGTATTTGAATGTCAAATGTATTGCATATCCCTAACTGCAAGGAAAAGGTGAATCAATGTTAAATGATTTGGTAATTTTTTTTTAAAACACATTCTCACTGCCTTGCAGACAAGGAAATCTGAGCTCAGATCATTATTGCAGTTAGTGCCGAGTTACCACAACACAGCTATAATATGCATTGCACTGCAAACTCTAACACGGTGATTCAATTGGTTCAAATGGCTGCTTGCTTTGATATCAGTCAATCTTGATAAAGTGTATTTCACATCAATAAAGGTGTCTCAGAGTGGTTTACACAAAATTTAATTTACGTGATATGCCACGTCTATATGCACATGGCACTGCGATCATATTATGTGTGTATGCTCAGAGTAGCGTACAGGTGTATTGTACTGCAATTGAATGGTAAGTATAAGGTGCTAATTAATTAGTTCAGATGCACCTTGTGCTATTATAAGCACGTGGGAACAGGTATACACCTACGTGTGTGAGTTTACAGGTACTATATAATAGGATTACATGGGCATGTGCAAAGGAATTAATTTAAATCGCGTAACAAGCACATTATAGTTCTTCTACATTAATTATCTTTACCTTTGCCGTCCCCTAAAATTCCTTGATGAAAATAATGTAGACGGCATTAGCTTTTCTCCTCATTGTTGCAATGACCTCGTTCTATTTTTCACCAATTTTTAACCAGGTTTTTAGTCTGTCCATTTTAAAATATGGTCCAATAAAACCCAGGGTATTAAAATTTATGACTTGGAAGTTGTTATTGCTATGTCCGCTACAAACGCATGTACATTTATTACTGTGCGGAGCTAAGGTTTTTTTCACAATGCACATTACACTCACCACCACACACCCAAGTTGCTACTTGTATATATTACCTATACTCCTCAAATTTTTATGGGACACCATTCCGGTCGACATTTGTTGCAACATTTTTTTACCTCTAAATTTCAATTCGCTTCTTTATCATTGAAAGCTGCTTCGACAATGGGGTGCAGTGGCGACACAGTGGTTCGCACATTGCCCCGTGAACCCATCGACCCGAGTTGAAATCCCGGATATGGCTACCATGTGAATGTTTTTGGCCCCTCCCTTCACCAACCGGGACTGCTCAGCATGGTGAAGTAGGTCAAACAACCCACCCATTACTGACGTGACATAGGGAGGCCTTCATCCAGCTGTGGATTGACAAGAGTGGTTAACTACATAATATATATTTTTAAACTGATCAATGTGTTCTATATTACAGCACTACCGTGCATCGTATGACACTATCTCAGCTTGCGATTTTTCTGCGCGCGCGTTTAGTTTGTCGTTCTTCCCCCCCTTCCCGCCGCACCTCCGATGAGCACAGTTAGTTACGCTTTGGTGGGAAAGAAGTTCAACACACTGCATGTACATGGTGGAAATGGCCAGCCCCCCACCTGTATACTGGGAAACACGGTGTCCTGCAAAGGAGCCGGAGAAGCGCCGAGTGCTTTCTCCACCCTCCTTGCCGCCCTGCCGCGCCAGCGAGAGGGAGCCGGGCAGCTGCAGGCGCGGCCTCCCCGTGGAGCGCGGTATCGTCGCTGCTGCCGCTCTCTGAAGCGCCGTCGGCACCTCGTTGCCACTTGCCATGGCACTGGCGACTTGGCTCTCCACCGGGATTGCCGTCAAGCCACTGTTTGCGAGCGCTTGCTGCAAATAGATGAGGTGTTTTTTATCTGCAACGTCTCAATTCATTAAAAAAACTAAGGCACGTAAAAATACTTTTTTTTGGACGGGCCAATGAACAACGGGAACTAATCTGGTTCACATACAGTATAAATGACAGTATTTTGTTCCAAATGTCTCCACCAATCTCATTATACTTGTTAAACATTTTGGCATGCAACTCTTACACTTTGTCCAACATAATAGGCGTGATATGTTTACAATGTTTCGAAGAAACTAAGAGGACAATTAAAAATCAGCGGGGTATCTATAAGTGTATCACGTGTGTGTGTGTGTATATATACGCACATACAAAAGAGTGAAAACACCCGACGTACATTATATTGTAAGTTTTAAAGACCAATAGACAAAAATACAAGCCCTGCTTAAATTAATGAGTGCCTGATCAAGGAAGATGATTGAAAACGTTTAGTGCTACAAGGAAAACATGGCAGCCGCTATAATTGAAATAATATAAAAATTGTTTCTTAATACACTACATTTGGAACAATTTAAAGTTCTTTACAGTTCATATGGGTATAGTTGACCAGTGTGTAATCACAGCATCCCCACAGGCACACGCTTTATGTGCACAGACGTAATAAGCATTGGTAATTACATGCCAGTGGGGCTCTTCCTATGCATGCTTTTGTCAATAATTTAAATGCCAATACTTCAATTAAAGCAACCGGCAACAATTACTGATGGCGAAGGCACTTCTGCATGAGGACATGGTATTCCTCAAACACTAATAGCCATATTGTTAGCATGATGTGAAAGGCAATTGCTGCCCGCTGTTGTGCATTCATCTGAAATGTGGTTTCACTATGGACTTCAGGAAAAAAGATATTAGGGTCTGATTATTTGTTCCTCCTCCGTTTAAATTCTTCGTACATTACATGAGTGGCTGCAAAATACTGAGAAAAACACATAATGACACAAACTGGACAATTTTGCCCACATTACCAAATCGCCATATGGTCAATTCCACGGTAACGGAATTACATCATGGGACACCGAGCCTGATAATCGCAACATTTAACGTAAGCTTAATTTGGGCTTTTATGGTTTCTCAATGTTCTTACACTGCAGACTGATATGATACATAAAGATCCCATTATCATGCAATCTGTTATATTCTTGCATTGTTCCTGTAATTATGTTACTGTAGGAAAACTCAAATGTCAAATGTGTATGAGAAACATTTGTTTGTATCACTGCGTTCATATTTACAGTATAAAAAACTAATTTATCGTGACAGCTATTTTTAAACGGCATGCAACTTATTTACAAGCATGCTCTGGTTCACATTTGAGAAGATATTACAAATACAACACTGGCAAAGAATGACCTCTTCTGCCAAGACGATCGCTGGGATCTTTCATATCCACAAGAAATCACATGAGACCACAGACTCAACATGTCCTTTGAGGACGGAACAATGACTCAATGTTTCCACAGCACATCATTAGAGAAACGTGGAGGGGGCTGGGGTAGAGGTGTATTGTAAAAAAAAACTGAGTCACAAGCGACATGCCGTAGCACTTCACTAACAAACCACATTCAAACACGTGCATGAAATGTACATATGGAGAGTGCTTGTGCTTTCATATTTGGCACACCTGAAGAATGTCCTGGCTGATGGATGCCGAGTCTAAGTTCAACTGCTGAAGCTGCGGCTGGCCGTGGGTGGGGTCAGCGGACACCTGCTCCGAGAGGTCGAGGAGCTGCTGTATCACGTCTGTCACTCCGCGGGCTCCCCGAGCTCCCGCTCCTGACACCGGCGTTGCGACAGTCTGGGGCGCACACATCCGCACAGGCAGCCATGTGAGGAGGACACCAACAGCAAGAATGCGCGCGACTTCAAAGCAACCCGGGTGATGCAAGCTGGCTACCTGAGTGTCATCACCAAGCAGCTGGCTCGTGTACGACTCGTCTGCGTGCATCCTACTGATGTGGGCATTGAGACTGCCCAGCTTTTTGAAAACGCAGCTGCAGTCCTCACACTGGAACACTGGCTGCTCCCCTCCAGGCTTAGCCTATGGAGGAGAGACAAGAGCAGTTTGAGTCACATATACCTGAGTGTCTGACTGTCCCTTCCCCCGCACGTCCGATTAGTACGGTTGGCAACGTACGGTGCGAAAGAAGTTCAACATACATACATACAAAAGAATTACATGCAATTGTGCCCACCTCTAGTTATCAGGGGATGTTAGCTTGTAAGAGAATAAATAGAGTACATTTCTACTGAACAAATTCAGCAGCGACAATGATCTCATTAGAATTATACAAGTTGTTTATGTTATGCCTTTTCCCACTTCTTCAGCCCGTGCAATTTCTGAAATTGCTTATTTCAGACAATGGGAAAACATAACGCAGATTGAAAGAAATTCGTTAAACATTAATGTAACAACTTAGTTCTGTAAAGTATAACGTGCATCTGAAGCAAAGTTCAGCAGTAATACCAAAATGGAAAACACGAGTCCAGCATTCTAGCCAATTTGGCAGGGGGCAAGGAAGAGACTTGCAGAAAATAAGTCACAATACAAATACAACATCCATTTCTTTTCCTCTCACTGCAAGAAGATCGAGATATTCCCACAAAGGCCCACATTGCTGAGCACAAATCAATACCCTGCGAGGAGAGCCATCAGGCAGCATGGTACAGAGACCCTGACAGATCGCGCCCATACAATAAATCCTCCTCAAACCAGGCAGCTGCTAGCAGGTATCATCACTCTCGACATTCAAACACGTCCCCCCACCAAAAAAAATGGCCACACCAAACAGCGTTTAAGTTGTCAAGAGAAATGTCAGAAGCAAGACTATTCGTTTTGGCCTGCCTTTGCAGCTCGATACAGTGAGACAGGTTGGGATTACTAGGAAGGAATCATTGCTTGTTAGGCTTTTGTAGAAAATCAGGGTGGCCACTTTGAGGATGGCTTTGATCGAATGTAATCAGCACTAAACTATGTCAAGTGTGACAGTATTCTTGCAAATCCTGCTTTAATTAAATTAAGCCTCAACTGTTAATCTTTGTTATGCAGCTGTTTAAAGTAACGCAAAACATTAAACACATTAAAAACACTACATTTGTATTACATTATCTGTCCACATAAATTACCACATTGTTCTCTTTGGTAATGTGTTATTTTGACATACATAAAGACACCTAGAAATTAATTTAGGATATAAAAATACTAAGTGATTAATACCATTATGCTTAAGTAAGACAGTTCATCCTGGGAACATTACTTTAACAGTCAGGCACTACTACACAAAATCAAAGAAGGCTTTGCACATTTAATGTATTAAATGTGAAATCCAGTTTTTAGCCAAACTTCCCAACTTTTTAGAGCCACATTAAACAAATTCAAAATCGAGAAAAGAACTCAAAATTACCCTCAGGCTATCGTGCTGAGCATCCCTGTAACCTAGGAATTTCATACCAGAGCCATGACCTGTTATTCAACAACCAGCGCAACAAGCAAGCATTTAGACTATTCATAACACACATTATAAGAGTGGTTGCTTTTTTTTCCCCACATAGCATTCCAAAATAAATGAAAGATGGCAAATTATATTTTAAAAACACTTATAAATCCGTACAGCTTAACAAGTCAGTTTGAACTCAAATAAAATATTTCATCTTACATCAGAGTGGACCCGCTGAATGTGGGCCCTAAGGTTGCCTCTTTGTGAGAAGGTGTGAGGGCAGAAGGCACAGCGGTAGGGACGCTCTCCAGTGTGCTTGGCCTTGTGAATCTGCAGTGCTCCTTTCTGGTTGAAGGCTCTGCCGCACTCCTCACAAGTAAAGGGGCGCTCGCCTGCACACGTAGAAAAATAGATGAAATACTTCAGCCGAGAACTTTAATTCCCCTCCTTGCAAAACTCTCGCCGCAATGGAAAGCACGCGTTTTTTTTTACAAAGGATTTAGCATATTGTTCAATAGGAGGGATAATACAATTTTAAAATGCCTTTAATAAAAGACCATTAACGTGTTACAGTGCATATTGACATTATTCCGTGTGTGGAGGGCAGTAAATAAAAAGGCACAAACCAGTGTGTATGCGTATGTGGCGTATGAGTTGGCTAGGCTTCTGGAAGGTCTTCATACAATGTTCACAACGATGAGAAAACCCAGACCTGTCAATATTACGCTTGTATGACCTTGTGGAAAGAGAAGCTCTGAAAAGAAGAGTCAAGACCATCATACACAGATGAAAAATTAATTGTTACAAAAGACAGCACTTGCTAAGAGAAAGCTACAGTGAAGTTACACAGCTCTCCTATCTATGCCTTATAACAAACATGAACACTTAATTATTCACATGTTACTGCACTGTATAAAGTATTATTTGCGGTATTTCACAAATGCAATATTTAACAAAATTCACAATTTCAACAAAACGATTTGAATATCCATTGTAAATATGGTGGATTTGCTTTCCAACACACCGGTGTGCTGTACTAGTAACAAATCGGCATGTTCTGTTCACATGAAAAACCATACTAAATGGCTGCGTCAGGTGGTGGCAGGTTTAACAACATTTATAATTTACGCGATCTAACCCAAAAAACCTATATCATGGTTGAAAATACATGTTGGTTAAATTAATGTCATGTTTTGCCATTATTTTTATTTGCATACATTATGATATTGTTGTCTCACGTAGATTTCCCATGTCTACATTACAATCATTCTCAGTAACCGAGACAAGTCTTCATACATTTTCAAGTATCGGCAACCCATTTAATGGCAGATAATTAATTTTCCAAGGTAATGAATTGGACACACTTGATGTCGGCATGAAGAAGGCAAAAACCACATTGGCGGTTCACATCGCCGAGTTTATGTAGACCCTGCAGAGAAGATGGTAACTCCCACGGACACAGAGCGCATGTTCAAGGATACCCTCCTTAAATTGTTAACAGTTGTTAATGGGCGACTCAGGCATCCACTGCACAAGTACGCACTTTTGCAACGCCTCCTTAATTCCCTCGCACATTCTGCTATTACAGTTCAATTAACACCGTTGTATAGTTCAACATAATAAGCCGTCTGGCTAATCAATCTAATGTTCGTATGGCAATCTACCTGATTTTGTAGTGGGAGCGCATGTGCTCGCGCAGCGTGGACACGCGTTGGAACTCCTGATGACAGATGCGGCAGGTGAAGGTGCGTGCCCCTGAAAGCTCCTGCCGGTGCATATCCATGTGGCGCTCCAGCTGGCTCTGCAGAGTGAACTCATCCCCGCACTCTGTGCACATCAGGTTCTGCAAGAGAATAAGATTGCAAAGCAGGTTGGATTCATAAAGCATCTGAACGTAACTGCTCTCAAAACTCAGTGTAGAACAGAGGGGCTTGGGCTTCCTGGGTAAAGGAGACATGTTTATTTATAATAAAGAGATGATGAGGCATTTAGCGAAAGGTAGAGGAAAATAGGAAGGTTTTCAGCTTGGACTTGAATAGGGGCAGGGAGTTGGCTGTGGGAAGGAAGTTTCAGATTAAGGGGCAGTAGAGGAAGAAAGATCGAGCTCCCACTAGGTGAAAGTTGACTGGCGGATTTGACCAAAAAAAACGTTGGTTGCTGAGGCAAAACGTGTGTGGAGAGGAATACAATGAGATGGGAGGGAAGAGGCAGGTAGAGCCAATTGCATGGTAGGATCTTCAAGCTGATCCAGGATTGTATTGTGGAAGGATCGTTGAATTAGGGTGATGCAGTCACCTTTACGAGTGCGAGTGAAAAATCTGCCAGTGATGTTTTGGATTAACTGCAGTTAGGAGATGAGGGTTTTGGGGAGAGTGTCAAGGAGAGAGTTGCAATAGTTGAGTCGGGATGTAATGAAGAAGCAGATGAGGGATTCAGATGCAGCTGGGTTAAGAAAGTTAAGAGGTTCTGGAGATGTGCAAATTAGGCAGAGGTCCTGCAGACTGGAGTACAAGAGCTCGGGATCAAAAACATGCAACATATATGTATACATTTCCTCCCCCTTTTATGAAACTCAAGTTATACAGCAAATATTCACACTGTAAATTAATTAATTTTAAGAGGTGACAGCACGGTACATTGTGTTGCATCCGCAAAGTGAAATATAAACCCATCATTAAGAGTTCCAAAAAAGGCAACTAATTAAATTGTCATTTTAAATTCAATAAAAGATCCGTATGTGCTGCAATGCACGCCCCGTTATAGTACAAACTATAACATTGAATATCAAGGGAAGTCATGCCACTCCAACATAAACGCACCCATTATCTGCAGGAACAATTATTTCTCACCTCCTCCTTTTCATGAAGCATGATGTGTGCCTTGAGGCTGGCAATTCGTGAGAATGTGCGCCCACAGTCTGGACATGCAGTCTGGTCCACTGAATGTGTGGCCCTGTGCAGCAACAGGTTGTATTCCACATTGAAGGAGGCTGGGCACTGGTCACATCGATGAGGCTGTGTGAATGTGTGCGGGTGTGGGTATGTAGCAGAAACAAGGGAATACAGAAAGTAATTTTATACCCTACAAGCGTTCAAGGAACTAAAACTAATTTCACGTGAAAACTTGTTTTTCGTTATCGTATACTAGAATGTTTTTGCACGTGTAATTATTTATTGTAACCTTGTCATTTTCTTGGTGCTGTCGGAGATGCTTCTGGAGCTGGCTGTGTTTGTGAAAGAGCTGGTTGCAGATGTCACACTGGTGGAGCCCCCTTGCCGGCACATCTCCCTCCTCCACCTGATCCACACCCATTCCCTGTGGGTCTTCTGAGCGTGACCACAATAGAGACATTACCATAGCGCGTTGACCTTCTGTGATGCTTTAACCTCTCAGTGAACTCAAACAATCACCATATTTTCTCGTCAGAGGAATACACTATTAAGTTATAACATTTTGATCTTGCACCACTCAATACTGAGAAAGTCCAATTTCCTAGTGATTTATGTTTAACCGTCATGCAGTGCTATTATGAAAGATAAGCCATCTTTTTCTATTGAAGCTTTTATCCTCTGGAAAAAACCCACGCAATATCAACCTGAAAACACATTTATTACTTATTACACAGATTAACAATATTAATACGGTTTAAAACAAGTTCAAATAAAACTGCATCAAATCAATATAGCACAGTAGCACAGGCTCAATATAGCACCATATTTTGTGCAAAAATACTGTGATTATTGAAATTATTGTACAGGATTTAATAAAAATAATATCTGCAATAGCACATCACTCACAATGTAAAATCTAGTAACCTTTGAAATAACCCTCTGCTCATTCACAGTAACTTGGTAATACTCTGAATTTCCAAATGTATAAACCAATACATGGCCAATTTACCTGCAACTCCTACTATCCACAGGACAAAAATGGTGACTATTATCCATTGTTTGTATAGCCAAGGAGTCAATCGGAAAATTAGTCCTTTTATCTCTAGAAAAAAAAAATCACTAATAAACCATGAAACATTGCAGACATCACAGACCACAGGATCCGTGAAGTTCACCCACACATCTTCTAGAATAAGTGGAGTTCTGTGATACGACCTGGATCTGACCAACCATGACATCAGTCTTAACAGACCATCAGCTATGCAGTAGTACCACGAATACATGTGCATCATTGATTTTGAACTGTAAACAAATCGACAAAATCGTTATCATTGGGGCTCAAACATTTATATTGGCGTGTTGTTGTGCATAAGTATGGTTTTGTAGCCGAAGCTTGATGCCGATGCCCCCCTCGCACATTTAAAATATATCCTGCACAATACAGCAGAAATCAAATGCAGTAATCAAAAAATTCCTGTAATTTCCAGATTATTGGCAGTTCGCAACTGCTCCCATAATCCATGGCACACCGCGGCGGATTGAAAACGCTTCTCGGACCAGAAAACCGCGATCAGTAGAGTGGACGGGGCCTAAGTGAGAGCTGCAGGAATGGAGCTGCAGGGAAACTCAGGAGGTAGGATTTTTTTTATTTGGCAACTGAAACTTATGGCGGGACCCCGGGGTCCCATAAGCCCCCGGCTCTCGCATAAACTGCGTTGCGACGTCATTTTCTGTCTGCTGAAGGCGAACGATACGGCAATCTATTCCTCTCGACGAGCTCTACACGATCCGCTAATCAAAGTTTCTAAATTGTGTTTCTTCTGCGCATTCGTCCATGAATGATCCGCGCCAGGTGGGTCGCGGCGTTCATGCGCGCGGTGGGACGGAGTCGCCAAAAATAAGTAAATTAATTACGATTTTGACTTCCGTTTATTCGGGACCCCGGGGTCCCGCCATAAGGTTCAATTGTATTTCTTTAGTTGCATCTGCACAGACTTGTTGCGCTGATGCGACTTGTTCAGTAGAAAATAATTTTAGCATTATTTTTTGCTTGGATATCAATGCAAAAAGATCATGTAACGTAAACCCATATGGCATATTTGTGCCATAGACGTCGTGTGCCACGCTTCCCGTGTAATCTAATTTTTTGTGTGGATTTAGGGAATCGCGCGGTGCTTTCCCTCCCATAATCCGTGGCACACCGCACCGGTACAAAAACAATTGTGGAATATTTGGTGTGACCTCCGCAGTGTGCCATGGATTACAAGCCAAACAGATTATTGGATTTCTGCTATATTCATGCCACAGCCTACTCCTCCCTTGAAAGTAAATCCTGCACCACGTGATATCTTCTTTAGGAAATGCACCTTTGCGAGGTATCAGTTTGTCCTAAAAATAAATCCTGCCATAAGCATTTTCATTTTCTCACGAAGCCCAAAGGAAACATCATTATAGTCATGACTCTATGTAAGCTTTCATTCACAAATCGTCATTTTTTTTACAAATTATAGCCACTAAATAAGGACAACCAATCCATAAATTCAGTAAATGCATTCCAGTACTGCAAAATAACGTACAAGCACAACCGTTTCCTATTCCCCCCTAGAAATACTGTACCTTACATGTTTATCAAGTTCCCACGACTACAGTACGTTGTACACTAGACTATACATGCTGCCTTTATTAGGTGTCAGTGGTATTTTACTCGAACAGTATGATCACGCTATTATCGTCATATCACTGCAATAAAATGTCAGTACTTTCATGCACTTTTTCATTGTGATATTATTATTACAGTGATGTATTTAAATTCCAATTAATATCACGACTGATATTCTGTCTTTTTGCTTTGCAGGTCTCTGTGGTAAAAGCAGGGCAGAACTGTATACTATCTCAGCTTCTCAGCCGTTTCAAATCAAACAATTGATTGATCTACTGGGCTCTCAGCTGTTTTACTAATCTCATCATTAGCTCCCTCTTACTTGTGTAGCTTTATCAGCTCAGCTTCACTGTTGTCACCTCATCATTTCTCACGCAATTTTATGAAACACTAGCTCTGAGCAACAGCGCCCTCAACTTGACTCTGAAGTCACATTAAGTCTCGTGTAATTTATTCAAACTTTGCAATCTAAATAAACATCGCTAAGCACTCTGCTTCTTCAGTTATGCAAATTAAGCGAGCACTCAAGGTGTATGAAATAACATGTTTGGTTCTTCACTTCTTCCCAATTAGCATGATAATCAGTCCCATTCCTCGTCTTGTCATCAAAGCTCTCATTATCCTTGCAATGCAGCCTATCCATAAACTCACACCCTCGTCACTACAAAACCTCATCATCTCAATCTCATCACCACACAACATGACCAGTTTCATCAGTCACCATACAAACCCTATCAGCTGGGTTTGCTCGCCTCATCAGTCATCCGCATGTGACCCCTTCACATCCGAGTCTCATCACTAATCTGATCAGATGAGCTTTCGGGCTCAAAGCTGTCTAACCCGACAATCATCTCTCTCGCTCTGCCTCATCAATGTGAGACCTCGTCGTCAACAAAGTCCACAGCAGCGAAGGGGGGGGGGGGGGTAGGACAACTACCTGGGCTCCTGTGTTCAGAAACATGAACTATACATCATTCTCGGCAGCAAGCGTGAAAGTCAATATCCTTCACTTAACTAGGTGAAAATCCATTATCTCCTTTGACAAGGAGACCTAGGAAATTTATTGGCCCATTGGAGGTAATTTTAAAATTTGAACTATGCCACACTATCTGACCTGCTTTTGCAACCATCACCGGGTCCCTTGCCAAAATGCTTTCGTGTCAATTGGCTCTCGCCTGGTTGATCATAATTAAGTTAATGTATGCATTCGACCAAACACGTCAAATACTGTACAGACTGTACTTAGAATGATTGATCACCACCGCGTCCGGAGTTTTATGCAACATTTGGTCTTTAAATCTCACGAACTGGAGCTGTTTAATGAGTGGCGGGACTCGATATCCGTGACATACATGGGGGGGGAAGGCGAACGTGTTGTATGACCACTGTGCCACGCAGCACGAGTGTGTTTTTGTGAGTCGTAGTCATCGGGCCATCAATAACAATGCTGTTCAACAACCACCGAGAAGGCCAACAAGACGAGTTTGTTGGTCCCAGGTCCCACAGGGGACTCGCGTAGCTCCGCCATCTTGCAACTAACCCAAGGGAGACCAAGTCCCGGCAGTGTTGTTGTTGTCGAGGGGAGATTGTCAAACACGAAGTCATCATTCAACTACAGACGAGGATGCACGCAATAAGGACCCCCCCCCCAACCCCGTATACGCATCACATTTACTTAAACTCATAAAACTATGCGCCCCCCAGAAACACTTTTTAAAAAATTAACGTGTGTATCCGCTTGTGTAAAAAACACACTAATTTAAACATATTAACCCCCCCAACCCCGCTCGCGCATCGGCATCAACACACAAGCGAGGCGCCGCAGCCCGACTAACCCCGCCAACTAAAGACACCGCACGAGCGGGCCTCGGGTATAAGAGGGCGCCGAGGCCGCGCCACCGCCGTCTCGACCGCAGCCTCCTCCGCGGGAGGGCCGCCTCACAACCCCCGTGGACCCGACGCACGCGAAGCGCCCGACAGCCCGCGCGGACGCCGCGGGAACTGCAGCGGCTCGCGACGAGGCGGCCTCGAGGCGGCGGCCCGACGGGAGCGTCGAGACAGCCGCCCGTGGTTTTTTTGTTGTTGCCGTCTTTGCAGCCGGGGCGGACGGGCGGCTTCCGACTCTACGAGAAGGCCGTGGTGGTGGTGGGGGGCGCCATTTTATGAAGCGAGCGAGCGAGGAGATTGTGGAGCGTGGGGTGAGGTGGCGGAGTAAAAGATAGACCGGGGAGGGAGGGGAGATAGTCCTCGCTTCTTCTCGCGCTTAAGCCGCTCCTAGTGTCGGCAGGGCGCGCAACACCGAGGCGGCTGTTAACACTGTGAAGGGCGCGCGACGTTGAACGGGGGGAGGGGTGTTGGTGGTGGTGGTGAGGGCCTCGTTCGTTCACGCGCACAAACACAAATCCGTCCGCCGCCGCCATCGGCCGCGAGTATCCGGGGACTACAGTGTCAGTCCGCGCGGCGACACACACCGCGAGAGGCGAGGAGCCGCCGTCTCGTCGTCCCCGTGTCTTTGTCCCCGGCGCCGGAGAGGAGGAGGAGGGGGGTGTTGTTTAACAACGCAAAGCGGCGCGAGCAATAACAGCAACGATGTTTGTGTGTGTGTGTGAGGGGGGGTTTGTTACACCTTATGACTGAAACGCACGCGTACCTCGGAGTGTTACGAACGTGGAGCGGAGTAGACGCACACACACACACACGCGCGCGCGCAACGACCGACATTAACAACAATGGTTATCTGCAGGCAATACGAGACCGGTCGATTAAGTGTTATATTACAATTTTTTTTACCAAAAATAATCGCACGTGTTTAATCCCGTAGCCCCCCCCCCGCCTCTCTCGCGCGCGCGCAGGTACCCCCTTTACCTTGCAGGTTTGTGGGGATTAATCGTTGTTTAGGCGGCCGTCCGCGCGGCATATTCTGTGCGTGGTCGTGGTTCTGTAGGGAGGGGCAGGGCTTGCGTTAAAGGCGGTGGTGGTGGTAGCCGCGGTGGTGCTGATGGAGGGAGCGTGGATGACGAAGGGGGGGGTGTAGATGGATTCATTATTTATCTTCTCCCCCCCCTCCTTTTTTTTACCCCCCCCCTTTTTAGCCCCCCCCCCAAAAAAACTGGGAGAAAATGGCGGTGAATGGGAGACGGGGAGGGGCGGAGGCAGCGGGCGCCGGCGGTACCCGGATGTTGGCGCCCTCGGTGCTCGCTCCCTCAGACTCGTCGAGTGAAGACCCACCCCACGTGACGCCCCCCCCACCCCACGTGACGCCCATCCCACGTGACGCCAGGGAGGAGGGGGGGCTCTCTATACCTTCTCTAATACGCACGACTCCCGTGTTATATTCTTGGCTCTTTCGGTAAAGTCACGTAGAAGGGAAACAATAAAAGAATACAAATATAACACACACAAAAATCTCACGACGTTTCGACTGCAACACAAGCAATCATCATCAGGTGTGAAAACCACAGCAAGAAAATTTGAAAAAACCCCCAAGAATATGAATCCCTGCAGTCACGACAGCTTTAAATCAAGACTCCCGTGTTGATTAAACAAGATGAGCGAGCGGGGACGATGTCAGTGTATCGCTACTGAAGAATGTGCCTAACATGGTTTTTGTTGCACGACTCCCCATCATCGGTTGCTTCAAGGGGGTGGCGTTGCGTTGTTTTTTTTTGCAGCATTCATTCCGTGCAAGCAAACTTTTGAACCGGGTTAGACCACGCATTGTCTCGTCATTAGGCAGTCATCAAGCTCGTCAAAGTTATGCACTCGTAGAAGGCTTGTGTGGCTGATGGGATTTAAAGCTTTCGTGACTGCAGGGATTCATATTCTTGGTTCTTTCGGTAAAGTCACGTAGAAGGGAAACAATAAAATAATAAAAAATATAAAACAATAAAATTATCACGACGTTTCGACTGTAACACAAGCAATCATCATCAGGTGTGAAAACCACAGCAAGATAATGTTCTTGCTGTGGGTTTCTTGCTGTGGTTTTCACACCTGATGATGATTGCTTGTGTTGCAGTCGAAACGTGATCATTTTATTGTTTTAAATTTTTATGATTTTATTGTTTCCCTTCTCCGTGACTTTACCGAAAGAACCAAGAATATAACTCTAATAAATTTATTACATTCATGCAGATGGCCAGACGTGAAGGCGGCGTGTTGTCTGCCAATTTTGATATTTATCTCCTCAACGACACTAATAGTATGTGTTTAGGTGTATGTGGCCGAGGTTGGCGTTCATCCAGCAGGGGATTGATCATGGCTCATGATTAGAATGGCTAGCTGAGATTTCAGGGGTTGAATCCGGTTCTCGGTCACCGGTGGTGAACATTGATTGACGCGTGGAGTCATTGTGATAGTTTCAGAATCAAAATCTTTATCCTGGAGAAATCCGATGAGCCATGAAGCTCTTTATTCACAGATGTCCAGTAGGGGGCGGGTCGGATAACTGTTACAACAACAACAACAAAACAACACGTTTCAGGCCAGACACCAATAACATATAGACCCAACGATCTGCATAGAAGCCCAGATAACACGTTAAGTGATTAAACCCGGGCCTCAAGTGCAGTGGGTTTGAAGGCTCAGCCCGATCACCAATGACTGCACACACAAATATATAACACTCGTGTTAAAATTGGTTTCCTACTGAATTTGGTGAACTTACAACTCTGGTTTAATAAACACATTCTAATTCCATATTTCAAACGTACGTTAATACATGATACTGTCCATAACACTATACCGCTCCATGTAAAAAAAAAATGTTGCTTTTTCTTGCTTTGTAACATTTATGTGAGGAAGTGCGCCCCCTAAAGTTAATGACAAACGCTCATGATATATGTTATAGAGCCTAATGGGCATAGAACTATACTGTATTGCATACCTCCTCCATCTCTTCACATAAACATGACATGCTTTAGCCTTAGATTATGGGGCTTCTAGACCAATATCTTTTTTAATTTAAATATTTCACCTGGATAATCCCTCGAGATGAAACATCTTGCTCGCAAAGCTGTCCAGGGTGTCAATTGTCACATTTATCGCAAACGCATTGACACAAATACAAACATTTTAAATCTACTATACAGGGTGGCCCAAAAGTCAGGATGTATAGTGTTATATTTATTTTAACAAATCACATCAGGTTGTTTAATTTATTTTAACAAATGTTCAAACTGACTACAACAGGAATGCATGGCTGACTTTTCTTTTGAGATTCATTTATGCCTTTTTTTAAGATTACAGCTGCCTTTAGCATACATGAAAACGAATTAAACTCTTTCGTCTTTAGTTAATTTACTTTCCATTTTTAAACTCTGCACCTACTTCGACCTTCAACGTCTCCAAGAATATGTCTCCATCGGAGTATCGGGCGTGTTAAATATTGCCAAGTCGACAGCTTTCTTTGGCAACAGGTTCCTTGAAGGGTTCCTTGAAGGGTTCCTTGAAGCGGCTCTGATGGCTTCTTCCCCAGGCCATTTCCCAACTTGGGGTGGTCTACTGATGTCTGCAAATTTTCTGACTTAGACAAGGTCTGGTGACACGATGCACGTAGCATAATAGGAACAATTAAAACGTAAGGGAATGTTCCCCCATGTGTCAAGACAAATTGCACTTAAGGTGCTTTGTAATTAGGGTTAGGGTTGCAAGTCTATTATTGTACTGATATGAGTGATCAAATACAATCAAAGGTCATGAGAACCCTGAATCTGTACTTGGGAGGATGTGGAGGAGGGGTATTTTTTTCCCGAGGGCTATGTATGTCAAGAAGTGCCTATGGTGTCTCTTTATGTGTCTCATTGCGTCTGTTTCATTGACTGAAACTCTATTTCCATCCCTGTATCTTACTCTGAGAATGTCTTTCCGTATCTATGTCTCTTCAGCTGTGTCTTTGTGTCAGTCTCTGTCTGACTCAATATCCTTGTTGATTTATGTGTCTTACTGTATTGGACAATATATGTGTCCTTGTCTCTTTTTGTTGATGTCTTTCTATGTGTCTGTGTATTCTTCTTCAGGCCTCTTTCTGTTTGCCTCACTGTGTATTCCTACGTGTCTGTCTATGTCTGTATCTCTATGTTTACCTCTGTTTATTGGTATATGCCTGCCTGTGTCTATGCATAGATCAGTATCTCTCTGTATATTGAGAGATAACTGTGCCTCTGTCTCTATATCATTAAGTATGTATCTCCATATCTCATGGTATCTGTCTTTCAATGTATATCTTTGTCGCTCTGTTTGTATGGCTTTCTCTGCGTTTGTTTCACTGTGTGTCGATGTCTGTTGAATAATGAGTGTCATACTGGTAGGAACCTCCTGGTTACACCAGCCCACAGGGGATTATTGTGTCCGTCCGTCGTGCATCCAAAAATGGGAGGGGTGGGGCTGGGTGGAGAGGGAGGGGCTGGGTGGGGAGGGGAGAGTGGGGAGGGGCTGGGCTGGGTGGGGAGGGGCTGGGCTGGGTGGGGAGGGGCTGGGCTAGGTGGGGAGGGTGGGGCTGGGTGGGGGGTGGGCGGGGTGGGGCTGGGTGGGGAGGGACTGGTCACCCCGTGGTGCCCTTATAAAACTCAACGTTTAACCTACTCACGCCGGCTTGTGCCCGCCCTCACAGTTGGGCATATTTGCAGAATACACCACGCCGCCGTTGACCCCAGCCATTGACCAAGCAACCCAACATTCCTACCAGCTCCCTCCGCAGGAATGTTTGGTTTGTGATGAGAGTTTGTCGAGTGGTCGTGGCAACATTTGGCAACTGCTGTGTGAAATTATGTCACAGCTCCACAAAGCGGTCTGGGTATTTCCAAGATGGCAGTGGATTGTGTTTCATGTGCTGTGGAACAGCAGTGCTTAATAAAGTGTCTGGTGGAGAAAAATATCAAAACAGCTGACGTTTTACAGGTTAGCTATACAGTTTGGTGATACACGTCTTGTGCAAAAGTGTGTTTGAGTGGGGCGAGAGGTTTAAAAATAGACATGAGTGGGAAAAATGTGATGGGAATATGAGAGCGTACATCCTAAAATGGCTGCAATCATGTGTTGTGCAGGACAACCATGCGGAGACGAGGAATACTATAAGGGCTGTTTCCGTTCATTAAAACACTCTCACACTCGGCATCCTACACTTACACCAGTGTCAGTGAACTCTACCGCGGTCCTTCACCCGGTCCCTGAATACTATTTGGACCCTACCCTCAGCTATCCCTTTGGCTCTCTCGTCTGCCCGGAGCGGGGGATCGGCCAACACCACTCCGTGAAGAGGAGAGAGAGACCCTCTTCCAGCCGGTCCTTACCCTGGCTCCCAACGACGACCTCGCCTCCGTCATGGGGTCCCCCTTAAGAACCCCTTGGGCGGCTCCTCTCCCTAGCTCGGCCCCGCCCACGTTCCCGAAAGTGCTTTCCGAAAACCCCTTGCGTAAACCCATGACGTTATGTCATCCTTGGCTCTCAACCCGCTCGCCCCCTCATTGGTTACTTACAATACTCCTCTACACATGTCCTAAACACTTCTCTACTTCTGACATTAATGGCTTACAACACCAATGGGGCAGATGTGTATATGTTCCAGGGGGATAACTGGAAAAATAGGGTACGTTTCATTTACTTAACTTTCACATTTTCGACAACTAAAAGTGCAGGTTTACCTTCAATAACCCAAGTAATACTAATAACCCAAGTAACACAATACTAATACTGTTTTGTATTTAACAAGGAAAACCCAAACCTGATTCTCAAGATCCCTTTTAATGTACGTTTTCATGTGTGAGGAAATCGGAGCACGTGCAAACAAAATCCATGTACACCGATGAAAAATGTTCAATGGACCGAACGAGCACACATTCTCACCAACCCA